CATGGATGAATGTTCCCGGTCATTTACCCGATTAGCAGGTGTCAGTGGGAGGCAGTATAGGAAGAATTCAAACCAGAGGAGAAACTGTTTTTTTCTCATGCCAGGAAGCCTTGGATCCTGACATGTATGCTGAAGTTAAATTTAACACTTCACTTTTTCACACCTTCCTAAAATTGTTGGGGACAGCAGACACCCGTTCATGGCAGAGGTATGCCCTGATTGCAGACATCTCTATGAGCATGATGAAGCGAGACTGGTTTGAAAAACATATCAAGAGCTCAAATTGTTATTTGGCTTCTGAACTGCCCAGATTTCAGTCAGATCTAATATCTGTGGAATGTGCTGGGGAAAGAAAACAGCACACAACTTGCAGAACATGGATATGTGCTACTAATGTCTTAGCACCTAGTGTAAGAAATGTTTTGTAAAAACAGTAAACATTCTGTTACAGATTATTGTTTAATAGAATTACATTCACAACAAGTTGTGAAAAGCTGGTGAAATAGTGTTTTAAACCATCTATGTGTTTGTAATGTTTTTGGTGTTTTGTTTTTTTCTCTTCTATCTTAGTCCAGCGGGTTCACCATCAACATCGGCAGTAACGACGGTAAAAAAAGAGGTAACATTAAATAGATGTATTCAGTATTTGTAATGCTCTTCAGTCTTTCTCAAAGTAGTAAACTGACATACTGATGCTTGTGGGGGATTCACCTGCCTTCACATTGTAACACACTGGGTACCACTTTAATGCTATGTTAACATTTTAAGTTTCTATGTAGTAAGGTGTAGTCTGTCAGCTCCGGAGAAGAAGAGAAGCTTTCATATTGAATACGTTTTAATGTGTGTTCAGTGTCATTTAATGTACATTTAAATGCGAAATATTATTACTTTTTTCCCGCTTTTTCCCCAGTTTCTTCAACTCCTTGTGTTAAAATATAATTAGAAACAGTTCCTGAGCAGGCGTTAGTATGTTAAAGCTAAGTGTATTATAATGTGTATTTTGAATTTATAGTGTGTTAGTTGTGATTGTCCACATGCTCACTTACACTCTCACCCATTACAGATTGGCAGCAAATCACGATGCTCTCAGTTGATGGATGTACAGTGCTGTGAAAAAGTATTTCCATCTTAAGTCTCCCAATACAAGCACATAACCTTAGCTACGGAGGCTGCTGTAGGACAAACACCTTTATCAGAATTTAAGACTGTACTCTGTAACTGCTCCAGACCACCAACATGTTTCTACTACTATTTCTGTATAAAAAAACTTTTTTGCACACACTCAATTTGAACATATTTGAATAATATGAAGTATAATATGAAATATTTAAATAATATCAACACTTTATGTACTTCAGAGTTTTAATTTTTACCCTGGATCAAATATAAAAACTGGCCACCGTTCATCTTCGGTGAGTGCAGGTTGTCAGCCTACTGTTTATCTCAGATGTCAACATGTGTCCATTTCTGTTTATTTTGGAGGAGAAAATTCCCAAAGTATGAGTTGATGAGTGAAAACTGTCCACTGACAGTTGTTGCTAAGGATATCATGAACTTTTCTCTCAGTAAGCATTGCTGTTTTTTGCCACTGTTAGCCAGCGTTTGAAGTATATCTAACACGTTTTTTTTTTTTTTTTTGGGTTTTTTTTTAAAAACCACTTTAGCCTAACATTAGCTGGCATAACCAGCTGTTGTTGTTTAGCCGGCTCAGCTGTCTGGAGATGGGACGGTTGCATGTCTAATCTGCTGACAATTTCAGGAATGAATAAATATATTTATGCACTGTTTTTGTACGTTAGAGCCCTGACTGCAGTTCAGAGGCTTGAGGTGAGGAGCAAGAGCAGTGGTGTTTGAGGAGAAGGAGATGATTATAAAATGATGATGAAAATATATCCCCATTACACAAACATATACATTATACATGACCGTATGATCATTTAGCATATGTACAAATGTTAACATTATAGCTTGAGCTAGTTATGATCTATCCTATGGTCTGTCCCAGCCCTACACTGTATATTTTTAATGGATTCATTCACTGTTTATGAGGACACATTCCCTCAATAAATGCAATAATAATATTAAAATTTAGTTGACGATCTGAAACGTGTAACTGTGGCAAATATGCAAAAAAAAGTACATACAGCTTCTGTACATCACTTCCTGGTGTAGTATGACGTTTGTGTAGTATGCTGTGCAGTGGATGAAGTTTACATTTAAGATTTCAAACAGCAACACCAAACGACTGGTGACTAAAATGTTCTTACATTCTTTCCATATTTGAAAGAGGCTGTCTGTGTTCCTTTTTCTAGGAATTTAAGTGAGGAAGATGTGGCTGACATCATGTGACCTTTGGGAGCACATCGAGCTGGAGGGAGTCACCACTAATGAACTTAAATCAATCCAGTTTGTGTAAAAATAGACTGAGGAAATAGCTCTTAATTGAATTACTTGGTGTAAGGATCTTGTTGTGAAGCGAAGCCGTAGCAGACTGACTTTTTAAGGAGTTCGCAAAGTTACTGGTTCTGTGTTCAGTTAGCATTCCAAAGTTAGGCTGGAGTAAAAATAATTTACCATTGTTTATTTTGTTAAATAAAATCTCTCTTGTCCTTTTACAGTGTTTAATAGTTTGATTTGGTCATGACACCAACTGTGTTTGTCGGGGTAAACTGCAGTGCTGGTTATAACTTGTTGCTAACACAAATCTCCCAAAGAAAACTAATTCATTTAAAACTGCCTAAATTAGTTTAATCATTGTACATTAGTAAATGTGAATTTTTACTCTCGCTAGATTTTGAATAGGATTATGAAGTGGCCCGCGTATTATACTTGCAACAAGAAAAACTACAGTGTGTCGTGTAAGTTCTTTTGCTGACGAGCCAGCTAAAACATTGACACTGATCAGAAAAATACAATTTTTTTTTTAATTAATTTATTTTTTTTGTCAATCTGGACAAAGGGTAAGCAAACACTTTGGTTAACCTATTCAAAGTCACTTTTATGAGGCATTACAGAGAAGTACTTATGCCGTCACCTCCGATCTTGTCAGTGTAGTTTGAATTCACAATGAATGTAGTGGTAGCGTTAACGCAGCTCAAACATAAAACAAACTTGACTTTTAGAGTATGTGAAAATAACACTCCAGTGTTTTTGCTTCCATTTCTGTGTTCTTAAAATTGTTATGTAAATTTTACACTTGTGTGTTATGTGTTTGTTGATATCGTTGTTTTAATTTTACATTTTTTTTAATCCAGCTTTTAAAATTCAGGTTGATTTCTGGTTTAAAAAAGAAGGAAAAATAAACTGAAGGACTTCTAAACCAGACTCATGAGTAGGATGCATTTCTTTTCCATTCATTACTGATTTTTTCCCCTTTTACCTTCATATGACATCTAATCACTTGTGTGGTGTTGACACCTTGTCAATATTTAACCAAAGTCAACACAACAGAACTGTTGTTGTGTAGCTTGAATGTTTAGATGTGTTTGAAGCCTGGGCTTTTGACTTCACTGGAAGTGTAAATGTACTTGCTTATAACTTAAAACCATGTTTAATATGAGCATCCACTATTATAACAGTATGTGTATATATGTAGTACAGTATGTAGTATATGTACAAAAACACAGCAACAAGCAAAATAGGTTCTTAGTCTTTTAGGAGAGACTTAGTAAAGTCATATAATTGTTTGTCTAGACTTTGATAGAATAAAATGTTCGAAATTTCTGCCTTTACACCAACAACACTAACATTCAGAGCAAATCACAGACGGAAAATAAAATGAAAGGTGAATAGAATGAATATTAGCAACTTGTTCAACCATCAGAAGCTATCTCTGTGTATGCTTAGAACCCCCACCAACCCACCCACACACACTCAAAAGCTAAATTTTCTTTTTAAAGAAGTGAAAAGTTCTTTAAATGCTCAATTAAAATACATATTCAGTAGCAATAAAGTGGGCCCCAATCCTCAGCCCATATAAAATGTTGGTGAAGCATCTCCCCTTGTGGCGCTGAATTCCTAAAGTGACCACACAGCGCTATCTGACTACTACCATTATCTTTTTTTGTAAACCCTCAACCATCCCCTGAAGCGCATAACTGGTCATGTGGCTCTTCTTCCTGTGGAACTAACAAATTCTGGGAATGAAAGAGCACAGTGGGTCTTACCATTATGCACTATGCGGTTATCTGTCAAAGGCACTTTTGCATTGTATTTATGTTGCCGTCCACTCCTCCCTCCGCATTCCAGTGTACACTGCCAGCCATCCCTCCCTACCCCATACCTTGATCCCTCTGCAGTGGATTGGATGGTTGAACTGCATCGAGCATCAATGGAAATTCCCATTCTGATTTCATGCCAATTTATTTAGCCTTGAGCTTCGGTTAATTGCAGCCAAGCGCATGACTCTCAAACGGAGGAGTGCACACAAGAACAAAAGAATGTGTGTTTAAAAAAATAATTTCAAATAATAAATAATAATCTTGGGTTTTGCGTAAGTAATCTTGACTCCTTTAAACACCCTGCTTCAGTTTTTTTTTTTTTTTTTACTCTTGTCTCAGTCAGACGCCAACAAGAAGGGATGTCTTAATATTGGCTAAAGGTGGCTCAAAAGGAGGGTAAACTAAAGAACTGCACCAAATCCAACTAACTGATTTCAAAATGATATCTTCTGGATATTATTTTGAATTGTGAACTGTGTTGTGATGTCACTCCAGCATAAATTAAAGGACTACTTGAAAAAAGTTGGATTTTGGCCCAAAAGTCTTTTTCATTTTATTTTGCCCCATTGTCTTTCTTTAATGCAGGTTTTTGTAAGTTTAAAATAGAATTAAAAAAAAGAGTAAAACGTGAACCTTTCTTACCCAAATAGTCATCATAAGCACTTTTATTAAATTATTATTATTTTTTAGTTAAAGACAAATCTGTTTTTGAATTTCAAGGCTCCAATAGAGCGTAGTAAAAAGACTGAAGAGTTTAAATTCCAAGAAAACATATACCACTTTCAGAGTCAGAAATATTTTAATTGCCTTTAAAAGATGACACCTTTGAAAAACACACATTTTGAAAAAACAGAGATCACAAAAGATATAAATCATACAATAAACAACTTTGAAAGTCAAGTGTTTGGACACAAAAACAGACATCAAACTGATCAATATATACAGTTACTGTCGCATGTACAAAGAACCCTGTTAATATGCAGTACACTGGGCACATATCAGCTATTTCAGCAAAATACAAACGCCATGACCTTCTTTGAGTACATCAGTATCAAAATTTTACAGACGCATCTATGTCTTATTAATGCACTGTTGTGTTGGCTGTGCCCGCTGTGAAATGTGTAGAAAAGCTAAACCAGCATAAAACAACAATATTTAGAACCACAGTTAATTGAATGAGTTCTTAACTGCTGCAGCAGTCTTACATATGTAATATATTTTTCTGTAGACAACATGCTTACTGAAAATTCAGTTTTCTGAAAGGTGTCTTGTTTGCATCATGATGGAAATTGGTTTCTCTGCAACAAAGGGCCAAATCACCTTTAGTCTAAACCCATAGCTGTCCACTGTATTCTCTTTCCTCCCCTAGTCACTCCGCATAGCAAGTAGTGTACAAGAAGACAAGTTAAAAAAGCATGAATATGTTTATTTGTGCAGATGAAGTTGGATGCTCTACAGGGTTTCACTATAGCTTAGGAATGAATAGGCTACCAAGGAGCTGTGAAACTGACTGTGACAGACAGTCGATCACTGTGTACTGAACAACAATTACACCACCAACCAATATACGATAAACAGGTAATACACGGATGTCTGTGCGTCACTTTCTGTAAAGCAAAAAGTTATCCATACAACTACACAAACACATAATACATGCATCTACAATCTTCTAATGGAATGTGGACTCGTTAAGTGCTGAGTTATAAAACATTATCAAATGAATGAATTGTCAAAAGGTGCAGAAAAGACCACAGAAGTTACTTTTGCTGTAAGCACAGAGCAGCTTGATTGTGAGAAGGCAGGATGTGCTACAGTTGAGTCTCAATTACATCAATCAGTTGCATCATATAAGCCATGTTGTAGGCACAGAATGCCTTGCGTTTGAACACTTGAACAGACGTCTTTAATGAAATGTAGATGTGTATAATTGCATCCATTTCTGCAAATGAATGCTTTTCGGCTGTTGATTGACTGCGATCGGTTATCTTCAAGGCATTCCACAGATTTTTTTCCTTAATTTTAATCTCTGAGGTTTGGCAGTGCCTGTCAAGGATTCTTACATTCCACATCCGAGGGCCTTCCAGTTTTTGTCTTGAAAAAAATTGAATTTTTTTTCTGTCATTTGAAATTTGTTGCTCTGTAAAACATTACTGCTGCAATCTAAGATCTCTGGCACCCCGAATCTAATTCAGTATTTGCCTGTATTTGCTGCCATCCTTTTTTGCTTGCATCCCTACAAGACGTTCAGTCCTTGCTCTAGAAAGCGCGAAGCAGTCAGCACAGTGTTGTCGTGCAGACGAAGTAAGAGCTGTGCATTCTACATGCAGCCCTGTCTGTTACAGCTGATGACATTATGTTAGCTTTCTTCTCATGACTCACTTCGGTCTGTGGCGTGACTGTGCTTTTTGGAAGAGGAAGAGGAACCCACCCGAGGGATTAATAAAGTTCTATCTTATCTTATCTTACTTCCCAGAGGCTTCTAATTGGTCACATCTTTGTTTTAGCTTTAAAAATAAGAGCGCTTGTAGCCACATTCAACTTTTAAAATAATGTACGTGGCAATGCCAAACATCGGTACTTTTTAAAGGCACTATATTTACACAGTTCTGCATGCACAAAACGAGACAATGTATCTGTTGTAACATTAGTTGCATAATGAATTAATATTTTCATGACCAAATCATATTGTTCCATTTGATAGAAAAGTCACTAAAGAAAAGAGGTTCATTTTACGCTGACTGTGGGTAAGGAAACATCTTAACAGACGGTCTTTTTTTAACTTACAAAAAAGCAAAAACCAAAACAAAGATATCCAGTCTGCATATTTGCTGTTGTAAAGAGCGGTGGGTTCTGCGTGGTGGTCTGCAAGCCAAACAAGGTCAATGTGCTGCTTAAGATGTCTAAATATTAAAGTACAAAGTGAGCAGATGATGTTTCATTTAAAACGTTTTTTTCATGACTTTGCTGAAATTTCACACTACGCTATGCTTCACAACAATCACAGTACTGATCATGTTCGAGTGCTGGACAATAAAATTCACAGAAGGCTTGAAATGAATGTGAATCTTTCACCTTGTCTTTAACATGTTCTGGTCTCCTTCTGAAAACATACATCACACGTCAGAAACACTTTAACAATGGGTCAAATGAGCAGAATATACAGCTATGAGGGATTGTATTGTGGTGTCAGAGGCTTCAAATAAATCACTACTGTACTGGATTTATAATTTTTGTAATTTGTTTCTTTATACTTATTGAGGCATAACTAGAATATGGACACTTATATATAAGATTTACACTAATCAGTGCACAAAAAGTGAGATTTTTGTCAGTTCTTGTAGAAGTTTAGGCCTATGACTGTTCACTGGACTGGAATTTAGGCACCAAAGAAAACATCAATGAATCGAGGTAATTGATATGGAATTTGAATTTTTGTGATTTATATCGACAGAATTCTTATATATGAGATTTTGGTCATATCGCACAGCCCTAATATCACATCAATATGTTACCGGGTGTTGCAAATCATTCAAGGGAATTCACATTAAACAGAAATTCACATTATCTACTTACATTCAGACTTCCACTAGAACCTCATTGATAGATTTGAAACAGAAATTCAAAATTCCTCCACAAATAGCAAGCATAAACTGACAAATGGCGACACGCAGGCAGTCGGTCTGCATTTATAAACCAGACCGCAGTTATTTGGAAACATTCACCAGTCTGATAGAGAATGAAGTCAGTAAAAGTCAGACTGCAAGTGTTTAGAGACTGGTTGCCTCTCACTAGGTGTGCAGCTGTTTTGTGATCGCAAAAGTGGTTGTCCAGAGGTTGACACCCTTAACCTCTGGATAGTTGGTTGCCACAACTACTTGCAATCAACTGCTGAATGTGAAAAAAAAATGTAATCATTGGACAAGTATTAAGTAGCAAAGAGGTTGACGTCCTAATTTTACTACTGTGGCATGAAGGATGTGGGTTTTTTTGTGACTGAGCCATACGGGAATCTCACTTTCACAAACATGAAATGAATAGGTGAACTGCAAGGCAGCAGCTAAAATACTTTGGTAATCCGAATATTATTTACGATTTGTGATTTCTTTGTCCGTTATACATAATGATGTCACAAAGGTTTAGGTGATCATGTTTTACAGACTTAACTGCAAATGTAAAGCTGAATCTCTCCTCCATCAGAAAACACAAACAATCCTCTTATGATCTCATGAACCACAAAGCTGTCATAAAAAGACAGCTCTTCAGGTAAAAGCTTTAATAGTTTTGAAGAAACAATCTCAATTATGGCTAAAAAGGCAAAAACCCCCAACCCCAAACGTAAAACGCCTTGAGCAATAAAAATGTGATTACAAGGCAGGGATAAAAGCAGTCAGATTGAAGATGTGGGGAAACAGTTTAAAGCCTTAGTTAAAGTTTACGGAGGCTGCAAGATGAGTCATTTTCTGATTTTTTAAAAAAAAAATCTCCTTCTACTTATGAAACAAGATTGGTTTAGCCAAACCTGCCAAGATCTTTGGTACATGTACTGAGATTATTTCTCCAATCATCTCTGGAAAGCTGACCTTGGTGTGAAGTGACTGAGCCTGGACAAAAAGGTCAAAGGTAAACTGATGGAGCTTCTTTACGGTCTGAAACAGAGGAGAAAAGAAAAAATCATAATGTGGATGAAATTTACTACAGATAGTATTTGGACAACAGCTTAGGGCACATGAGTCAGACATACACACAGTTAACGCTCTGGCATAAAAATGTGAGGATATGAATCATAGTAAACTCATCCATAAGGCCTTTTCCTGCCTCGAAGACCACTTCTGAGATTTTGACTTCTGAGTAATCAGATTCTTTTCCAATACTAGCATGAAGGATGTTTTTTGTTATGGGCTATTAAAGTACTCCGTCCTATGTGATTTAACTGGATGTGTTTCCAACAAATGTTTTAGTGTAATATAATTACAGCTCCTTCTTTACACTGTTTTTCCATTTTTTTTCTCTCAAATTTGCAAAAGTGCATCCATGTTCCATGCATCCACAAGTGAGGCTTTTTAGAAACGTTTACAAAAGTATGAATGTATCTTTTTGGAATAAGGATTTTTGTTTTTAGCCTGAAGAAACATCTCACCAACTCACCATCTGGAGAGAGTCCATGAGTCGTGTGAGCTGGTAGAACCTCTGAGATGTGTTCGTAGTCGTTTGAAAGTTGATGAGGCGGTCGAGTTCGTTGATGTAGGTGAGACGCAATTCGTCAAAGTACTTCTGACTCTTCAGACCCTCAACGGGAACTGGTGAAAATAGAAAGAAAAAAATCATGTTCATTTCTGACTGTACTCACTCCTCTGTATGTCCACTTCTTTATGTTTTCATTTTTGGCACGCAGAAGAGTACTTACTAATGCTAAAGAGGAGCAAGGCCTTCATGCAGAGAAACTCTTCCTGGGTGATCTGCAACATCTCAAACTCCTGAGAGAGATGCCTCATCCGTATGCAGTGCTCGTACATGGTGGAAACGTGCATTCTGTGTCTGCAAACGTTAGAGAAAAAAAAGGTCAGGATGAGGGGATGTAACCTAACGGGAATGTTCAAATCGCAAGAGGTGAAGGAGAAATTGCTTTACACCTTGGACATTTCTCCAGTAATCAGTAACTACTGAAGAGGAAAGAATGTCAGAGGTTAAATCCATTTCCATCCGGCACACTGTCTTTGAATCACATTATAACAATACAGATTTGTGCTGTGTCATCTTTGACATTAGTGCTGAGGACGTTAAAAACACACAAAACTCTTTTACACCAAAATCCAGTCATCCAGCCTAAGCTCAAAGTTCATGATGAGAGCTGATTGGGAATTTAATGTTCGTGCCTGAATGATGGGCAAAGAAGACATTTGTTATCAAACTTTGCCATCTCTTCTAACACGAAATCAATTTGTCACTTATTATGAAGCCGGCAAAAGACAGTTTGGAACATATTCACATTTTTTATTCTGAGAAAATAAAGGTAGAATGAAGCAAATTTTGGGAATTAGAATACAGATGTCAAGGGGGAAAAAAAAACTCAAATTGAAAAAAAAAATGGCATGAGATAGAGAAATGAAATGGAGCTGAATTTCCACCTTCTCACAAGAAATAAATGCAGAGTTTCCAATATGTGCCGGTATATATGAATAATAGTCACCAGGAAGCGTATAATCCAATTATATTGGACTTTCTGGAAAAGCTAACGATGAGTTATGAGCCAAGGTAAAAATAAATTGTAGGTTAGAGCAAGTTTTTTCCCCAGATTCATGATGATAGTCTGGATACTGAAAAGAAAATGACTGCTCTTTAATTCTATCTCGATAGCATCGCAGTTGATAGGCTGTCTCATGTTGAAGTGGTAATGCTGTTTTATTATATCCATGAAATTAAGCCTGATAAATGTACATCTGATGTGACTGTGGTGTCTTAATTCTCCAATTATGTTGACTGTAATAGGGTTTTTACCCTCTCTAAAGGACAGCCTGCTCGGCAGGAGTAGGAGTGGTAAGCGGCTAATTTCAAAGGTAACAAGGAGTACTTGAGTGCAGTAACACTGCTGCTCACATTTCTTTCACTTAGTTTAAATTATCCACATTTCTGACTTTTATGGTTTCCACCAGCCCCAAATTTGTCCTTAAAAGTTGAGCTCCTGGTTCACCACACCTTGAAAAACAACTGACAAAGTGGTCACAATCACGTTTCCGTGACTTAGCAGGATTTGAATTTTGGACGTAGATGGCTGTACTTTTTGAAAAGTCACATTAGTTCTGGATGCTGTTGAATGTTGCTTTGATTTATATTTTATTACCCCCAAATAATACCTGTCTGGTTAGCTACTTCACAGGCATTCAGCTCATTTAATCCAGTCATTTGATCCAGTTTCTGGCAATGCTTTTCCATTCTTTAATCCGTGCACTCTTTTATACTTAAAAGTACATATGTCTTTTTTTATTTTAGGAAAGAGCTAAACTTATTTGAGGTTATTACAATTAAAACATTTCTTTTTAAGGGTCATGATCTCATCCTCTTCCAACTCTATCAAACTTCCAATCCTTGGAGTAACCCTTTAATAGAACTTACCTAGAGTACTATCTTTTCAACATTTCATACTTTAAAAAAAAGAGGTTGTGTTCAAGAAGATGCTGCCTTTACCTACAATTTTAACAATTTTAAATATGAACCTACTAAGTGAAAATGCCAGTCATTTAGCCTTTTAAAAACTGTTCATACTCACAAGTATTTTCAGTCACTATGGAAACTTGATACAGTAAAATATCCTCATCATTTATGAGCATAAAACCTGATTTTGGTATTGTATTCTTGCATCACATTAAGTTAACATTTTTCAAATTTACATCCACTGGCTACTTTATTAGGTGCACCTCACTGGTGTCAGGTTAGGGCCCTTTTGCCTTCAGAACTATTAATTCTTCATGGTAAGGTGCTGGAAACATTCCTTGGATATTTTGGTCCACATTAACCTGGTAGCATCACGCAGCTGCTGCAGATACTTCGGTTGCACACCCATGATACAAATCTCATTCAAATCTCCTGTTTCACCATATCTCATATTAGTTCTACTGTATTGAGATCTGGTGATTGTGGTGGCCATTTGAGCACAGCAAACGTCTTATCATGTTCAAGAAATCAGCGTGAGATGATCAGAGGTTTGTGACATGGTGCGATAAAAAGCAGCCATCAGCCATCACCAACACTAGGCTGCAATGTTTGAGGCAGGATTGATCCATGCTTTCATGCTGTTTACACCAAATTCTGATCCTACCATCCAAATGTTACAGCAGATATCGAGACTCATCAGACCACACAGCATTATTCCAGTTATCTGTTGTCCAATTTTGGTGAGTCCATGCAAATTTCAGCCTCAGTTTCTTGTACTTAGCTGAAAGGAGTGGCACTCAGGTATCCAGTGCTCATCTGAACACACAATATGTCCAATTTGGGCTAGACAGATGTATTGTGTGTTTAGAAATACTCTTCTGTATACCTTGGTTCTAACAAGTGGTTATGAATGATTTTCTCTTCTTATAAGCTTAAAGCAGTCTGAGTCATTTTACATTCTGATCTCTGACATCAACATTCACCCAGAATAGCCACTCACTGGATATTTCACGTTTTCTGAACTCAGTAAATCCTATTGTAGAGATGGCTGTGCAGGAAAATCTCAGTAGATCAGCAGTTTTTGAAACACTTCAAAAAACACGCCAATTTAAAGTTACTTAAATCATCTTTCTTCCCCTTTCTAAAGCTCAAAATCTGGCAGATTGTCTTAGCTGTAATTGTAACACATAAACGTAATGAGTTGTTGAAACTGAACAGGTATACTGTGCATAATAAAGTGGCTGGTGTATGCAGATTGCACATTTCTTTCAGGCTGTAACAAATTTGCACTGGTGCTGCACATATGTTTAAAACTACTGTGTAAAAGGATCCTGTACATCACCTGCTTACACTGTTTGAACCAGACAACAACTGATATGTGTTATCTACTCCCAGCAGACTGTGTCAGTCAGCATTTGATGGAGCTAAATAAGAATTCATTTCTTGTAAACATTAGTATTCCCCACTAACTCTCACACAGACATCACCATTGTTGTTGCCGTCTGAAATATTCAGATCGGATTCATCTGCACTCTGCGGGGTTACGAGAGTCTGAATGCTAAAAAATTTTCCTTACTTTAATTTCACAGCAACAAAAGAACACCTAAGGAGAAAATTGGATGAACACACTCTTTTAAAAAGCCTGAAACTATTTATGCTTTACATTTTTAACTCTGGATATGTTTTTCTGTTTGTCTGTGAACGGGAAAGAAAATGAAAGGAAGAAGGGAAGATAAAGTGATGAAGGCAAATGAGAGCAGCTGCTTGCTCGCTGGTGGTGATCTCTAAATATAATGAGGAGCGCAGCATGTCAGTGACCCACTAATGGAATCCTTTCAGAGGATTATTGAATTCTAGAATTCAGAGCTGGACATACTCATTGAACACAAGGTCTGGGGCAAAGTATAGCATCCTGCCACTGGCATTCTTATAGGACCTCCATCCCAAGGCACACACCATCACCCCCATCCATGACTGCTGAATGATAGTCATCTGGTCATCCACATGGAGATTTCTGAAACCTGGGGACATACACACACACAATCACAATCAAAAATGAAATAATCTAATCTCTATCAAAGCACTTATTGTATGATTACGTGAGTTTGAAGATTGTGCCAGGGCTCAGCATTTTTATATACACTTTTTTAAATTATTTTTTAGGGAAACTTTCAGACTTTATTTCATCAGGTAGTAGAGAACAAACTGAAGAGCAGAGAAAGAGCAAAGGGAGTGACATGAAGGGAACTGTTCAAATGGGCAGAAACCGGCAGCCTTTCACTTGTTCGACCAATTGAGCTATAGAGTTGCCATAGCCACAGCTTTATGTGACTGTTCTAGTGACCGCCTTGGGTTGAAAAACAAGACTTAAAAGAGGATGAACAATGAAACGAGCAAAAGAAATGATTCTGTACAAGTAATTTCCTACCATATAGGACTTGTACATCTTAATTAGGTAAAATCACATCCAATTTTGATATTGTTATGGTTTAAAGTTAGAGGAGTAAGCAATCTGACTGACACACGTCCCAGAAAACAGAGTTTAGTCCATTGCTGTTTGGTAATCTTCACCGCTGCTAAACTGACTAAATGAGCTGGACTTCGAGAGTATGTCAGTGTTGCCATTTTTATCTGGCAAATTATATGACTTTGCTATGACGTACAGACCCGTTGACCAATAAGTTTTGTTAGTTTTTGTCAACTACCTTTTTTTTCTTCAGAAAATAAGACAACAACTAAATAAAAAAATAATAAAAAATAATCCGCGAGGACAAAAACTATGATGCAATGTAAATACGTGACAATACGTAAAAACGAGGTGAAAATATTCTGGAAGGAGACGAGATCCATTCAGAAGTAATCGCTCATGTAGCTCCCATACTTCCTATTTGTTTCCTGTCAAAATGTGACAAAATATATCAATTGTAGCAGCCCTTGGGATCAAGAACGCCATTTATTTCCTCAGCACACACGGCTCATTCTCTGGACATCATTGAGCACCGTGAAAACTCAGTCCTCTTGCCAAGGGTGCAAACTCCTGTGAACACTTAAACAGTTGGCCCGTTTCTCATGGGGTGCTGCTAGCTTGAGTGACACACATGTCTAAGGTAGACTTTATATAGCTTTTTGCTGTGCACGACCGACTGCTCTATACAGGTCGTGCCTCTGAGCGCATCCGTCATTAATGCTACTGCGCATAAAGTTCTGACAACCCCAGTAATGATGATTTATAGTACAGACCAGCAGTTCATGACATCAATGAAGAAGGAAAGAGTAGACATATGGACACATTTGACATTTGATGTCAGGTAAAAGAAGATGCTTTGTATTTCGTGTGGAGCAACTCCGAACCAACTTTAGGTTGGAGGTTCTATGATCTTATGATATTTAGTCGACTAAAACTAAAAGCATTTATCTGCTTAAATAACTAAATAAAAATTTGCTCTCAAAATTAACTCTGACCTCCATAAAGTTTTCATATCAGTTTTGGCTAGCAAGACCCCTCCCTCTTGTCCAAACGGGGAGGCTTCAGAATTCAGAGAGCAGTAGGTGATGTCATGATTGCTACATCTGTCTTTTATACTAAGTCATTGATAATGACACAGGACATGCTGATTCTTTATAATCTTTTAAAATACTGGATACACATGTGGCTGGGAATTAGAATGGGAGAGAAAAGAAGGTCAGTAGATCGATGCCCACAACCAAGGTTATTATAGTAAACTAAACTACTACTAACTCAAATTAGATGTGAAAAAACTTTTTGTTAACAACAATAAAAACTAGGCTTTTAAACTTAAATGATTTAGTGAACCTGGAATATTATTTACTGATTTTCCTAAATCTTGCTTCTGACACGTTCTCCATTCAATAGAGACAAGAAAATCCACTCTGGAAACTAACTGAAACTAAGTCTCTCTAAAACCTCAGAACAACCTTTGTCCAGGACAAATGCAGACAGTTTGAACTTAAAACAGTAATAGAAATGGTGGAGAAATGGGAGAAAGAGGAGAAAAGAAATTAGTGAACCGTTAGTGAATACCCTCCCTCTTGTCTCTCCAGCTGCTCAGAATGGAAGGCATCCAGCCCTCTCCAAGGACAGAATGGGGGAAATAAAAAACATGAATGAATGAATGGGTGAAAGAATGAATAGGCTGTGGCTAGGGACTTCCCCAGCAACAAATCTTAAAGTCTATCAAAATTCCCCCCAAACACCAAACAACAAACTTTTGTGTTGTCTTTGATTCATAATTAAGTATAACGTGTCACCAAATCTATTTTTAATCTGATGCAAAAATAAATAAAATAAAAAATAAAAACACTTGGCTGTGTGGCTGGAGTACACAACTTTAATTCAGCGATCAGAAACTAAAACATTTCTGCTTGGTCAAGTGACATCTGTTTGAAAACTCTCTGTGAGTGTAGACTATAGAACCAGAGAGTGAGGAACAAATTGTGCCTGTTTTGAACTTGAATGTTATTTGTCTGTGCCAATAATTGTGTTTGTATAGATTGCAAAATGCTCATGCTTGTTCTGAATGTCACCAGACTATTTGCGTGATTCGCTTGCCATACCTGCACCAGAACTGCCTCTCGGGTCATCTGGCACATGGCCTGATGTTCCAAAGAGCAGGTCAAAAACCTTTAGTGAGGCAGCTTTTAGATTTTATGCTTCACACCAGTGGGACAGCCTGCCCATGAGGTCTGAAATTATCAAATGCATTTTCCAATTCTTTTCATTCCAATCAATCCAGCTTTTTTATTAGAATGTCTAGTTTCTTAATTATTCTTTTAAAATCTTTTTTCACGTACTGGTTTTGAGATCTCATTATCAGTTTGTTAGTCTTCTGTATAACATTTTGAATGTCATCAGTACCTGAATGAGAAGTCATATGGTAACTACTGCAGAATGGTGCACACACAAGAGCATCTATCTAACAACCTACAGGCAAAACTACTAAATCTTCACATAGCTGCAAAATCTCAGTCATTAAACAATGTCTGCTGCACATGTTTGAATTTCCTCATTGTTGTGTTTTAATATGGGGCAAATTATTAAAACAACCTTTTTCAAACATTTTATTATGGGTAGGAGGAGAAGAATAGTTTTCTGTGACTGGAAAATAACTGATTTCTTTTTCCATTTAGGTTTTTTTTTTTGGTGGGATGAATCATCAAGCTCTACCACCACAGTCCGTCTGGGTTTTGTGTCCAGGTGTATGAGCACAGTGACACCTCTTTTCTCCTGTTACATTTTTCCTATCAGACAAAAGAAAAAAGGCCACAGGTTAGAGCTCAAAAATCTATCACTAGAGCTGTTCCGCTTCATTGTCTTACAGGTTGGATGGTTCTTACGAGACCGAATCATATTTAGAATTTGAAGAAAAAAGAATAATTTATCTTCGCGTGTTTTTTCTCTCTCATCTTAACAACTGATCAAATAATACTTGTATGTGATGAGAGGCTTGTAGTTACAAAGCCATAGTAATCTTCACCTCACTCTTCAGTTCCTCTGAGCTCTTTGGAGCATTTTGGCATTCTTTCGCTCATTGTATTGGTTTCATTCACTCTCTTTGCTCTCATCAGCAGGCAGCTGTTTTTTAGTGAAAAAGCTCTCATAAACCCACAGAACCTTACATTGCCAGCACCAAATCTCACATACAGACAGTGACGAGCCAGTTTCATGCTGGTTAATGACAGTGAAACAAAATCACCAGCCAATTACGCAAAGGTGCGAAGTCCAGGTTTTGTGTTTGGGCAATAACTTTTTGGATAGTTAAGTTTGCGTAAGCACAAAAGTTCAATTTACATTATGAAGCTGTTTCTGTGACATACAGTTGGATGAACACAGTGAAAGAGAGTGGCTAGACAGTTTTGTCAGGAGTTTGTAGAGGCCATAACAAAGCTGAGAGCAGATGTACATGTATTTCTTAAACACAATTACTAATGCTGCTCTGTGCCTGCCGATTGCTTAAACGAGTAACAGTTTTAACTTTTAATTTAAAAGTGGCAGCCTCTGTTCGAGACTGGGCAAAGACACAAAGACAGGCTATCCGGTGTACTAATCTCTTAAAGATCAAACTGGATCCATCTGCTAATGATAACTCAAAAGCAAAAAAAGATAATCTTATCACCTCTGCTGCAACCACTGTCCTACCTGGCAATCCTTTTGCCCATTTGACCACTTTGACAAGTTGTCTCTCTCCCAGTTCGTTGAGGCTGGAGAGCAGGGTGGCAGCGGAGTCCGGCTGGCCATAGTCATGGCCTGCATTCACAACCTCTGGCTCAATGGACTCCAGGATGTTGAGGAAGACCAGGTGGGAGTTCAGTTGCACACCAGATTTAGGAGAGACATGTGGATCCACTGGATCCTGAGCACCATGCTCTTCTTCTGGGCTTTTTTGTTGTCCAATCTTCTTCAGCTTACGTGCTATAAACAAAAAAATGATTTCATGTCTGTAAAGGTAACAGTTCTCATCAAGTTCAGGTTTGACAGATTTTTTTAAGTTATCAATCCAAATCTACATCTGGACCAATACAAGGAGAAGGTTTCTTCTTATCCTGTAGCAGCCATTCTGCCTAAATGATATATGCAGAATAAAATTGTGTTATTATTAACAGCAGCTGGCTGATGCCATAAAAAAATTTCAGTTATCATTCTGATAGCTTGATTTCAATGAAAATTAATCAAATCAATCCATTACATCCCCACACGCCATCTGGAACATATGGCTCTTTTTTATATGTAATATTATAGGAAACCAGAAAAAAAGCATTAACAGACCATACAAGTACTGCTGAAATACTGCATTCCTCTTTCCAAATAATATGTCATAAATGCCCCATACTGCAACTGTGGACCGTGAACTATTTTAAAAGAAATATTAAATTTGTCTCAATAATACTCAATACTGTGCTACTAATAGACTAGAATATTGAATCATATTTGATTTGAAAGAGGACTCACTGAACAGATGAGCCTCGTCTGATAGAAAGCCTACTGTCATCATGTGCGAGTCCTTACTGGTAATGCGGACATGAAAATATTCTTTTTCTTTTTGCCTTTGCAGAGTCCTAAAATATTTCCTTTAACTATACAGTTCAGTAAATTGTGCATTTCTACCTTACAATTGTGTTTCTTTGTGCAATGTATGTATCTTAAGAAGTCAAAGACAACAAAAGCAAAACCAACAAATACTGTATGTTAAAGTAAACATACTGGTTTCCCATCTTGAGCTTAACAAAGCTGTAATTCCTTCCTCCACAAATGCTGAAAATCCTGCAGCAGCTGCTCCATATGGCAACCTGCACTTACAAACCAAATTAGAGCAGGAGAAGCTGCCAAATACATTTAGCTCTTTAGCAGTCAGATTTAAGATCACCTATAATTTTTTTCCTAGAACAGTTATATGAACGGTTAAGCTTCGGCTCAGCCTGTCATTTGGGAATGTCAGCCCTGCTAAAGAGCAAGTGACAGGAAAATACAAATGGCAACAATGTGATGAGTGTACTGAAGAACACACACTTGTGTGCTCTGGCGATTTTTGAAGTGCAACAGGATCTTTTGTACAGGCGTAATTTTACAATGTATTTCTCTGACAATTAATCTGTTGTAGTGTCTGGGGGAAACAAAAAAGACAAGAAGATGGAGAATCAGACTATGAGGAACATATTAAATTTTTAATCTGTTTTATCAAAGCTGAGTGACAGTAAAAAAGTAACTGTTAATTGTCGTGCAATTGCCTCTTGCAGCTTCTGTGTGTAAAGAATGTCTAATTAAAACTGCAGCCTGGCTCTTCAGTTTGATAAATATTGAGCTGCCAGTTATAGACACGACTTAAGTCTCTCTCAGGAGTGGCAGAGCTGAAAGAAAATTGCAGATTATATAAGATGGATAATTTGTAAGTCTCACATTTCCACTCCTGATCCAATAACAAATATTTCAAGTAAAAATGGTTTATTAAAATTTTTTCCTTTGGATTCTCAACTGGTGACACAGGCAGGCATCTGATCTTTGCAGAGAACAATGTAAATGGTTGGGTCGAGCCAACGTGACACTCTCCATACTTGAGTTGAAGCCAATATAAAGAGACAGAGACACCCAATGGGTGGATTCAGGCTTTGTTACGCTCAAAGACTTGGTCTAGGAACAATAAATATGTCAAATCAGTGACAACCACCTGCATTAACTTGCATACGTTGCATACACTTTGGCATCCGTGTCAATATTTCCAGCTCAAAGTGGCAGTAAATAAGCTGCTCCCTTATCCAGAACAAACCCATTTTCTCTCATATCAAATTCCACAGGCGAACTTTACCACTCTTTTTTTGCCAGGTCGATTAGTTGCTTTTGATAGTATCTGCATCACAATCACAATATTTATAGAATTCTATTTTTGGATAACTTCATCTCATGTGTAATGTCTTGCATTCTAAGTTTTGTCATTAGTTGTAAATTTTGTTTCTGAAATTATGAAAGTGTGATAGGATGGCAAAACTGAACATTAAACCAAGTCACAAAGCGTCACGTGCCAGAGAAATGCTCACATTTCTATATAAACATAAGAACTGTAAATTCAACATGCAAGTTCTTTACATTGTATACCATAATAATATATGGTAATGAAATCACCAGGACAACAATATAATATTTTGATCAGAATCATATATATTGTCCATCCATCCACACGGCATTTGAGTTCTGTTTTGGGAAAAATGCAGCTTAAACTCAGTTGAATGGAATAACATAATTCATTCAAATAATTTATTCAAAAAACAGTGAGGGAAATACGCTCAGGATAAATGTACGTATTACAATCAGGTTAAGTTATTTTTAGCTCGTAAGTGTGTAAATACCTTGAAATTTTACATTGCTGTGATGTGACGAATCTAGATTAAAAAAACATTTAATAACGAATGTAATAAAACATTTAAAAACAGTTCTTAGTCAGCTTTTTGGAGATAAATATATTTTTTAATTGTTTCTGTAAGAATAAAAACTTATTAAACCTTTACTAGTTCTTCCTATTTTATCTTTGTATTACTTTAAATACCAGCAAACTGTAAATAGATATGAAGTTAACTCTGAACCATGAAATAATCTAATTAATCTTTCATGCAATTTATTTTGTTTTTTCAGAGAGAAAAAATCACAATGGAATGTAGAATTCTCAAAGACTCACAAAAACACATGTATCAGGTTTGATATGCTTAGCTTTGAAGCGTTAAAACAATGAATCAACGCTGGGACAATGTAAAACTTTCTGTTCAGTGATCATTCTGGACTTCACACCGCAGCGTGTTTACTTGGAAACACAGATTTAGTGTCCCTGTCAAAATGTCAAGTAAGTGCATGAAATGTAAATCCTTCTGAAAAGAAGTGTTCATTATCTCCTCTTAATTACTACTGTTCTGTTTTTTGTATAGTATTTTATGCATTTGTACACAGCAAAAACTGGAGTGTTAAAATTTCAGGGTTAAAGATGTTAGAGTTGATTTCCACTCTCAAAGTGTCATTTTAACACATTCTGATTCAAATAGTGTTCAGTGTTGGAGTTATTAAACAGTGTTATTCAAGTCCAAGCAAATGAACTCTGAAGAGAGTTATTTAACTTGGTAGGCACCTGGGCTTCTGCCCAGGTAAACCCGTGGATCAATTAATAGTTTGCTCTGCCGGGCCGATTTTCCATGTGCTTCTGCTGGTTACACCGTGGTGGATGCCTGCCGTGCTGCTTGGAGTATTTTACACAAACGGTAAGTTATTCAAACTTATATAAAATTCACGGTATTCTATCGGCGCAGTGAGGTTTTCTTGATGTTTCTTGGTGTTCGGTTGCTGAAAACGAGCTTTAATAGAGGAGGAGATGTGTCGAAAATTCTATTTAGCCTCCAATGCTAATGTTAATGTCTTTTTACTCGTAAGTGACGGTAGACACTGCACGTGGAAGCGCCGCGCCACGTTCAGCTTTTCCCCTGTTCACACAGACACGTCTTTCTCCACGCCAGTTCATGAGCGTTTTTGCTTCTGTTTATTCAGAGTAATTTTTTCACAATTGATAAGTAAATAACATCCCAAAATAATTGAAGAGAGCTTGTTTTAGTCACTCCTGCTTTTACTTTGACATCGTTCATCGCTGACTTGTCTCTAATCTGTCTCTCTCTCTGTCTCACTCTCTTCTCCCTTTGAGACACCCGCCCCAAACATAGTCAGTTAGGCTGTCCCCTCCTTTGCTATGTGTTCATTTTCATCTCTATTGTCTCTTTTCATACACAAATCTGATCGCATTTGTCAATCGCAGTATTTTATTTTGGAGAATAGCTTTTATCTTCAAAATTGCCTGGATTGTCTTGTGTGTCTTGGTGTAACTTCCTGCGGAACATGCGTGGCCCACGCAAAAAATAGACCAGATACCGAAACAATCGCTTCGTAGCACTCCGTGTCTGGTGTAAACTACACCATAGATTAACGTGTATTTTGTATTGTGTTATGTATCAATTGGACTCCTGCATGGACAGACACAGGTTTATTTGATAACATTAAATGTTATTGCAGTGAAATTCAAACGCATGGTCAGTATTAATCACCATGTACGGTATATGTCAGTGTTTTAATCATTTGTGCTTGAATTGCTCTAAATGTCAAATACTATGCCATCTTTGTTATTATTTTATCCCAGTAAAATGCTGGTCCAGGTTCGATACTGCCAACAGCAGAAGTATGTGAAGTTGGAAGAGGTTGATGGGCGTTTTGAGTTTATGCAGTTTCATGAAAAAGGTTTGTTTATATCTTACCTAATTTTAGTTGGGGGGACAGAATTTTTTGTAGGGCGTTTCGCCAAGTCTCTTGAATCATACAGTGGTGTATCACTTTAGTGAATGTGAGGCAAGAACAGTTTACTTAAAAGGTGCACTCAGATATATCTTATTTTTTCCAGTCATCGAGAGATTTTGCCTGCCACCTGATGCAAAAGTAGTGTACAAAGATGCAACAGGGACAGAAGTTGATGAAGTGATTTTCAGTGATCTTATCAGCCAAGGCACTGTGGTCATAACAGTTTTCTCAAGTGATGGTGAGAAATTTAAAGGGGCAAGCTCAACACCAGACATGGGGAAGGGCTGTGTGGCTGCGTGGCTGCTGGTTGTTCCAAATAATCAGGAGCACACAATTTGACCAATCAGCTGTTTGAACATTGAGATCAGTTAATTTAAATGAGTCAGGCCTGCAGTGTGATGTTGCCTTGTTAGTTAAAAATCTGCAGCCAGATTTGTTTTTCTACACCTTACAGAATAATGTTGTTTTTTCCTTTTAGAATTTTCTGATTACTCCTTGTCTTCTGCATCTGATTGTTCTGACTCAAGCTTCAGCTCAAATGCAAGTACATCAACTATACTTCTAGATGAGGGTCCCAGGAAGAAAACAAGAGTTGAGGGTACTGTTGATGCAGCATCTGCTAAAAAGGTTGTGACAAAACTCAGTTCTCATAGTATTTTTTTCTACTTCATTATTCTTAATATGTAGAAAAGCTATTCCTCACTTTTTGCATCTTTTTTTTTCTCAAGTTAATTGAAGGTGTACTTGGAACCAATTCAGGTGGTGAAGAGGTTCTCCAGGAATATCACACAACACAAACTCTAACAGATGCTACCAGAAGAAAAATGGTCAATATAATAGTGGCTCACATGATTGATTGCCATGGGTATGTGTGTTCTATTTGTGCATTTTATTTTTTTTTAAATACAAGTTACTATTTTGCCATTACTTAAGCATGTTAATTTAAAATCGTTTTTCAGGCACCTCCCCACCAAAGCTGTTAGAGAACAGTACGCGCTAGGGGTAGTGACATTGTTCCCATCCCTGAAAGACCCATACTCCAAGAAAGGCTATGTATAGTCACTACTATTGCACTTTGTTTACATAATTTTCATGCTGTGCATCATTGGGATTTGTGTGTGTTGACATTTAAGTTCTAAAAATTTTCAGATTGACAACACATTATTTTTGAATGTATTTACATTTTAGGAACACTTCTATGATGCTGCAAGCAGCACTGGATACATTTCTTGGCGTTTGAAAACGATACAGAGAAAGACTAGAAGAGGATCTGCACCACCAAGTAGCTCCACTGGCTTTACTCAAGGAGGTAAGAAATTAAGTGTCCACAAACTAGATAATGTGCTCATTTACATTAGATACTATTTTGTTTTCATTTACCTATCTGATCAGCACCTATGCTTTTATGTTTGTGTGTTTTTCTTCAGGGGGCCCAAATTACCAAAGGCCCATTAATGTCGACATGCAGCTTGATGGAGATGCTTGCCAGGAGGCCATCTCTTTGCTGAAACATACATCCGACACTTCCTTGATTTTTTCCAGAAGATGAGAGAGACCTTTCAGCATCGTCAGAAGGTCATCAATGATCCTGACAAAAGTCTTGATATCCTGTCTATCTTCCCAAGATTCTTGGATACAAGAGGATTGGTGAGAATATTCAGTGGAATTTTTAATATCACTTTAAATTTCAAGATGAATGTGGCAGTAGTAGATTTTCTTTCTTAAAGGTGAATCAAGACTTCACTCTCCTGTTTGATGATGAGATATCTACCAGGCTGCTTCAGAAATGGGATCCAATCTTTAGGTATCAAATCATCAAAGAGGCCAAGCAGCTCACCTCAACAGTAGAGTTGCGTCAATTGGTGCAGTCAGCAGAGAGTCCACCAGGAAGTGATCTTGATGAGGCAGCAAGTGAGTTTGTTAAATATGATTTGCTATAAGCAGTTAAAGTTCAATAGCATCAGGATTCTATTAATAAATACCAATTCATTCACCTGTTAGCTTTGCTTCATCAGTTTTCTTTAGCTGTTAGTTTAATGTTTATGACAGCACATTTCAACTTTCTTAGGAAGTGTTTCTAGTTCTCCTTAAAAATTGCATTTGAAAGATTTGCTGTCAATTGATTCTTGTGACTCTTTGGCCGCAGCCTTTGACCAAGACATGGCCTCCCTGTTGTTACTGTTACATCTACTTCCGCCACCCCCAGGAGGACCAAAGTATCAAAAAATCAGCGCCTCTGATGCTGTTGAGAGACTTGTAGTCTTTCATAAGGTAATTTAATATTTATAGTTTTTGTCATAAGTTGTCATGTCACTGGTTAAGAGGTGAATGAAACAAATTACAGTTGAGCTTACAAAGGAGGTTTACATACTCATTTCTGTGATGCTATTATCTCTGACTTGCTCCTGTGTCTAATGCTCAGTATCTTTGTCTCAACTCCAGTCTTGCTGCAGTTTGGAAGAGCATCTCCAGAATCAGCAGAGTCAGCAGCCATACCTCCTGGCTGTTGGGCGCCAGAAGAGGAAGGTCGACAGCTTCTATGTTGCCATAGACAAGCGTCTCATCCCCTGCCAGGCCAGCCGCTCCCTTGGGGCATTTGATGAGCTTTTTAAAGCTCATTTTGTGTTCAATGTGTCTTATGATGCTGCACTTGTGAATTTCTACACATTTCTGCAGACAACAGTATACAATATTGATATGGGGAAAATGAAGGAGTCCCCAAGAGTGCGTGACTTGAGAGCCAAAATCCTTAACCAGGAAATTCTTCTCACAACCTAAGTAAAAATCATTAAAATGCTGACATGTTTTTTGTGTAAGAGAGCTTATCTCAGCAGTCAGCAGCTGATTTCACATTTAAGAGGTGAACATGGTTATTATCCTGGACCTAAGTTTAAGTTATGTTGTTGGCAGCCAGGCTGCAGGCTTCAGTTCCAAACTTATGCAGGCTTTAGGAAGCACCTCAGTTTTCACAGCAATGTTGACCACAATGATCGAACTTCAGCCATTGCTTCTTTTTCTAATGACACAGTTTCACCTGCTTTGGAGGACCAGTTTAATTCCTCTTATCTTCCTCACAGTTCTCCCAGTGTTCTTCCAGAGTCTAGTTCTTCCAGTGTTCCAGTGAGCATTGATTCAGTACTTACAAGGGATTCATCCAAAGAAATCTGTGCATCCATTGTGGCCAAACTGCAGGGTAGTGGCCTTTCTAACAGTTTAGTATCCTCACTTGTAGGCGATTTGGAGGAATTAACAAGTGAGCTTCGCTCAGAAGCAAAGCAGGCCATTCTTTCTGCGTTACCCACAAAGGACTCCAGCATATCTTTAATAAATGAATGTTTTGAAAATTTTGAAAACCCTTTCACCAATCTGAACACAGAATGGAAACGAAATAAATACTTCAATCTAAAATGGGGAGTTGTAGAACCTAGAGAAATAACACTTGGAGTGAGGTATGACATCAGGCGAAATCAGAAGTTTGGTACTTATGATCAAGTACCTGTGAAGGATACTTTTATATATGTACCTATTTTGGAGTCTTTGAAGTTCATGTTTAGAAATCCAGAGATTTGTGTTTTCCTGCAGAGAGAGTGTAGCTCAGAGCCTGATGCTTATCATGACTTTTGTGATGGAAGTTACTTTAAAACTCACCCTTTGTTTTCAGCCAAAAGGCATGCATTACAAATTCAGCTATACTATGATGACTTTGAAACAGCCAATCCTCTTGGCTCTAAACGCGGAATTCACAAAATTGGCTGTATTTATTTTGTTATAAGAAACTTGCCCCCAAAATTTAATTCCATTTTGATGAACATTCATTTAGTGTCACTTTTCCACACACCAGATCTGCAAAAGTATGGTTTTGATGTTATACTGGAACCACTGATAAATGATGTCAAAAAACTGGAAAGCCAAGGGCTAAGTCTTCCATTTTCTGATGAGCAGGTATATGGCACAATATCACAGATCACTGGAGATAACCTAGGGATGCACTCAATTCTTGGTTTTAATGAGTCGTTCAGTAGCCGTCATTTCTGTCGCCTTTGTTTGATTGAGAAGAATGATTGTCAAATGGTGTACAGTGAGGATGATCCTAAAATTATTCTTCGTGGGAAAGATTTGTTTGACATACATTGCCAGTCTCTTCGGGAAGATCCTAAATTGAAGTCACTGTATGGGTTGAAAAGAAATTCTGCACTCAATTCATTGCAGTATTACCATATTTGCAATAACTACTCATTTGATATAATGCATGACCTTCTTGAAGGTGTGGCTCAGTAGGAGGTCAAATTGCTTTTTGAGTATCTTACGCAACACTTCATATCAGAACAGAACTTGCTTTCTAGGATTTATGGTTTTGACTATGGATTTTTAGAAAGAAAAAACCGGCCCACTAAAATCATATTGGACAGTGCTGGCAATAGCATTGGTTTGAACTCTATCCAGACATTCTGTCTTGTGAAAAACATCCCACTTTTGTTTGGTGACATTATTCCTGCAGGGAACAGACACTGGAATTTGTTATTGTTGTTACTTCAAATAATGAACATTGTTTTTTCACCTTGTCTCACTCTGGGAATGACTATATATTTGAAGAATTTGATTATTGACCACCACAAACTATTTAAGCACACGTATCCACACAGAAACTTGATTCCTAAGCATCATTTTATGATTCATTACCCATCCTGTATTCGAAAAATTGGCCCTTTACTGTATATGTGGAGTATGAGGTTTGAAGCTAAGCACAAGTTGTTCAAAGATTATTTCAAAAATTTCAAAAACCTCACCAAATCGCTTGCTAAACGGCATCAGATGGCCATTGCTTATCACTGGGAAACCTTTTCTCTTAAACAGAAGGAGTTTGGGCCAATTAAATCATTTTCTTTAAGAGGTGAAAGTGTGGTCAATAGTGAAATGCTATTATCAAAAGATGTTTTCTCAACAAGTTGGGTTAAAATTGATGGTGTAGAGTACAAAGCTGGACTCGTTGTTTGCAGTACAATGGAGGAAGACATGCCAGTCTTTTGTCAAATAATTGATACACTTATGGTTGAAAATGACATTTTTTTGTTGACACACAAACTCTTTACTGAAAACTTTGATGAACATCACCATGCATTCAAAGTAGTACAAACTGAAGAACGGTGTGTCATAAAAATAACTGAACTCAAATGTCACAGACCATTTGATATTCAAAACTCATACAGTGCTGCAGATGAAAGTTTGTACATTATATCTTCATTTATTATGTTTTGATTCACTTTCTGGGAAAAAGAAGCATGATAATAAATGTTTTTGGACAATGTACAGTTTTCTTGAAATTATTCTCATGATTGTACTTGTTGTCGTTAAAAAGTTATGTTAATCTATTACATAAATAGTTCTTTTAGGGATTAAAACTACCTTAATAAAAGATTAAAGAGTTAAAGTAGTGTTATTTTTCAATCTGTGTAGTGTTAATTTAACCCAGTTTGGTGAGTTAAAAATTAACTCAGACATGGTGTTAATAATAATTTGCTCAGTGTTAATTTAACCCAGTTTTAAAGAAGGAACTCTGACAAAGTGTTAAATAATTAACTATTTTGAAAATGTTAATTCAACTCTGTAGAGTGTGGAGCTATATAAACCCTGAAAAAATGTTAAAATCAACTCTGTGGGAGTTGATTCAACACTACAGTTTTTGCTGTGTACACACGATATCGTGTGTGATGCAGCTGATTTGAAAAAAAGAGAAAAAAAACTATTTGATTGCACAGAAAACATTAAAACTAAATAAAGAAATAGCAGAGAAAGCTCAGAGGTTAACGAAGAGAAATTATTATTCAGTTTATTTTGCCTGTTTTTGTCTCTTCGTCCTGGTAAGACATGTTGTAATGCCCTCCTTTCATGTTATTTACTAACCAGTTTTGGTTGGTAAGTCTGTTATTTCAGTTAAATCATTTTGAGAGTTTTCTGATTGGCTGTTAAGCACCAAGAGAGAAACTGTAACTGCTTACAACTGTCATTAAGTGTTTTAATTACTGTTTTAAAATGGGGTTTTTTGTGTGTTTTTCTGAAAAGACTGCACTAAACAAACAGAATAACAACATAAAAATTAGTTCTATATCTAATGAGCACTTGGATCTTTTCTTTGAAGAGAAAATGGTGAGATATTATATAGCATTTTAGTAAATTAAATCTAATTAAATAAGTAAATGAACTTTAGTTATTTATGATTTTTGTCTTGCTATTGCTGCCAGTATAAAGGGATTAGTTAAATCAGTATTTGTCAAAAGCATCTTGGCAGTCACACAAAGGTTGTTCTGAGGTTTTAGAGAGACTAAATGACTCCAGTTCTTTAACAGTACAGGTGCTATATGAATTTGAACAAATTGGTGTTTTTAATATTGGTGAAATCAAGATCTTTGTTAATTATTAGATAACACCAAAAAAGTTTGGGACGATGTATAAAATCTAAATGAAAACAGAATCGCTGAAAACCCATATTTTAATCACATGAGAACTTGAAAATTATCACATTTTTAAACCAACTAAGTGTACCACGTTAATGGCTGTGTTTTTACCACAGTGTAGTATTCCTTCTTCTTTCAACAACAGTCTGTATTTGCCTGGAGACCAGATCCTGGACTTTGGAGAGGAACATTGTCCCATTTTTGTGCGATATAAGAGTCTAGCTGGGCAACAGTCCTGGGTATTCACTGTCACATTTTTGTTTCATGACGCTATTTTAATAGCTGCAGCAAGTGATTTAGTATTATCTTGCTGAAATATGCCAAGCCACGCCTGAAAAAGTTGTCTGGATAGGAGTATATGTTGCTCTAAAACCTGTATATACTTTTCAGCATTGGTGCCTGTCCAGATGTGTAAGAAGTCCAAAGGCACTCAAACATGCCCATACTGTCAGAGATGCAGCGAGTCCCTCTCCTCTTTAGCTCAGAGGTTTACATGTTTTCCAAAAAGTTTTTTGGGGTTTTTTGAGATAATGTCCGTGACAAAATCTTACCTGATCTGTGAAGATCTTGTCAGAGGAGACCAGTGAGAGGCTGACTGACTGCTTCAAAACCACAGACTGGGATGTAATATGTAGTCCACAGGCAGTGTTGGGGAGTAACGGAATACATGCACCTCCGTTACGTATTTAAAATACAAAATATGAGTAACTGTATTCCGTTACAGTTACCGTTTAAAAAGGGGGTATTCAGAATACAGTTACTTTGTTGAAATAAAAGGATTACACGGTGGTATTTTCCTCTTTCCTTTGTTAGGCTATGCCCTCGCTATTTTTGGCAATTCCACGCCGGTGGAAACTCAAACAAAACACGAATTAAGAGGCTCAAATGCCTGTGTCTCAATCTTGCGTCTCATAATGACGTGAAGAAATATAAAAAAAATTTATTTAATATGAAAGCAATAAGAGAGTGTTACAGGCATCGCCCTAAAGAATGTAGCCTCATGGGCAATGTAGTGCTGCAGGGAGAATCGACTGCCATACCCGTTATGTGTCTGTGAGCGAGGGAGGGAGAAAAAGGAGAGTACGAGCTGTCACCGAGCAGAAAGAGTGCTCTCTCCCTTCCTTTTAACTCTTTATATCGGACTTCAGATACAACATCACTAAATGTCACCTCCAGAAGTTCTCTTATGATAAAGTCATCAGTGGTTGTGTATCTGAGGAGAATGATCTGGAGAACAGGAAGGTCATCACTGACTTTGTCATCTAGTGTGAACTCAAACACCAGTTATATGAAGCAGATGGTGGTTGACTTCCAGAGAAAACTCCCATCACATTGTTGAACATCAGGGTCAGGAACAAACTGCTGGGAGTTCACCTTGTAACACTAAACTGGACTGGTCACGTAACACTCAAACTTTTGCAACAGGGGCCAAAGTCAGCTTCATCTGTTGGGCAGGCTGAGTTCTTTTGGGGGTTGGACATTACTGAGGACATTACTCAGATCACGGCACCTAATATTGATTTTCAACATTGTCCCTTGCAAGCAGATCTTTCTCCAGATTGTGGGACTCTTTCAATGATGATATTATAGTATAAGTATAATCAGTGCTTGATGTTCAAAGGCGTCAATTTTATGTTGAGGAACATTTTACTGAAATTGTTCCACAATTTGTAGATGCATTTTTTTTTGCAGATTGGTGAATCTCTGCCCATCTTTACTCCAAAGAAACTCTGTAAGATATTATTTTTATAAATGCTTATGTTACTAACATGTTCTCTATTAACCCAATTAGTTGCAACATGGGGTTACAGCTTTTTATTGCCCCCATCCAAAGTTTATTGAGATGTACTGCTGAGATTAAATTGAGTTATTATTTTTCATGAAAAAGTAAAATATCTGTTTAAATATCTTTTTAAAATAAAATATGGATTTATGAGATTTGCAAATAATTGCATTCTGCTTTGATTTACATCCTACATCTTTGGAATTTATCTTATTTATATCAATCAGAGAAAGCATGCAAACAGGGACACAAACCAGCACCTCACAGGTTACTACTTGACTGCTCTAACCTCAAGTCTTTGTCTAATCCAAGTTGCCCAGATAGCAGATATACGTAACCTTGAATTCAACCATTTTGGATGACAGTTCTTAAGGGATCTGAGCCTCTGCCTGGCTTGGGAAGACTTTGGAATCTGACAGGAGGAATTAGGGTAAATTGCTGGGGAAAAGGTCGTTCTACCTTGAGGCAAACAGAGAGATGTGAAATACTAATGTTATAGTTTGAACTCTGGAAGTGTTGTGCTAGAATTACAATAACGAGAACTGCTTGCTTTTGGACAAAGCCCAATTCTAGGTGTTCAAAACAAAGGAATACGACCCAATGGATGGTACAGCTGCAAAGCAAAACTCTGACGTGAAATCTGTATTCTACTGCCTGATTGAATTCTTGGTCATTTGAGCTGCTTGCCTATTCTTCTTGTTCCCTTCTCAATGTCAATTCTATCTTCATTACTCTGACCATTCATTTTCTTGCTCACCATTTGCAAGCTAATCAGTCTTCGGATGTCCATCCTTCAAATCTCTGTGTTCTTCTGTCACTCTGCCTTTCAGACTCTTTGTTGCAACCTGGCTCCAACTCATCTCCACCCCATCTAAGTCACTATATTAGTTCTTCATCTCCACCATCAGCAGCATCTAGACTCCAAGACTGTTTTGCCCTACCATTGTAGGTTCTACGATCTGCCATGCTCTGCCTTCTTTGGAGTTTACCAGCAATATAGTTTATTTCTGAGAATGTGTACTTCAATGAATTATGTTCACTTGTTTCAACAATCTGTTATTGTTCAACAAAAAACAAAAAACGAAGAAGTAGATTTAACTCTCGTTTGTTGACTGTGAAGCACTAGCCAATGTGAATTTTAACATCCATCTCTTATATTCAGGTCTTCAGGTACTTTGAAGCCTTTATTTGACTTGGAAAGACTAGCATCAGTAATCAAAACAAATTGATAAGAAAGCGATTGACTTACCTCGAGGCAGACAGGGAACTATGAAACACCATGGTAAATGGTAAATTGACTGGTTCTTATATAGCGCTTTTCTACTCTCACTAAGCACTCAAAGCGCTATTATATTTACTGAAGCATTGCGCTAGCCCTGCCCTATAATTCAGATAACTTCCATTACCTGTTTTGGGATAAAACCTGAACATAATCCTGGATAGTACAACTGAATAACTTTTACCACTGTAATAAACTGACTTCATGACTGTGATTTTTTTTTAACTAAAGTAATATTACAAAATCAAGCAGTGGAACTTTGACAGAATGGCCCCAATTCACTGAGCTGCCTTATTTTTTTCAACAAATGCTGGAGAAAAACAGTGGCTTATGTGCATCATTATTTTATAAAGGTTTAACTCTGACTTGCAGATTGTGATACACATCTCTTATACTCTTGTCAAAAGAAGTCAGGGGTTGGGTTCTGAAACTGCAAAGTTTTTAAAGAATGTTAGGCAGTTTAATGTTCTCCATGAAATGTATTTCTACTGGGACAGCAGATGTGCAGTGAGCTTTCCTGTCACTGCTCAAAATAAAACTCCCATCATGCTTTGGTGAAAGTAACTGTTTGTTATCTGTTTGCAGATGTAATTAACATTCCAGAAATAATATGGAATTTAAATTATAAGAATAACTCATAAGAATTATGATTAAAATAAATGCTAGACAGACAGACCTTCTAAACTACAAGAAGTGAAACAAATAGATCAAATCTAGTAGTAGGGTTATTATTTAAGGCATATAGATGCCAGTGGATTTGACATTTGGTAATACATTAATCATCATATTCTCTAAGCATTTTAGGACTTTAAAGTATTTCCAGTAAAACACCCTCTGGGATAATAGGACAAAACATATCATTTCTCTGCTTCCACTTCCACAAAATTATTGCCATATATTTCCCTGTTAGATGCCAAGAATGAATTACATGTCTGTGATGAGAAGATAAGTGAAAGGAACTTTTTAGCCACAACCAGAAAAGGTGTCCCTTTTTACTAACAATCACAGCATTAGATCACATTTTCCCTCCATGCGTTTGTCAGTGACTGGTGGCAAAATTACCAGCATGTCTGCTGCTTTAATTCACATGTCTCATGTCAGCTTTGTGCTTCTAGTACAATTTTCACCGTTAACAGAATGAGAAAATGGAAGAGAGTGAAAATTGAACACAAGCCTAAAATTAGTGCACTACATGTCAATCTTTACAGCCTAATATGACGAGCAGGTCTTGGTGACAGTAAGGAGAAGTGAATGGAAGAGGTCTAAATTGCATGGCAGCTCAGTCAGGGGCTTGATTATCAGTAACATCCCCTATTGTGATGATGCTGCAATTGAAGAGAGCCAGATAAGATGTGCAGTGCAGAAAGAATAAAATACTTGGTCTGAGGAAACCATTAATAGTGTCACTTTCAGGGCTTCACTTTTTTTGTAGTGCTTTGTTCATCTTTTTTTCCTCTCTCTCTCTCTCTCTCTCTCTTTTTTTTTATATATATACACACACACACACACACACACACATATATATATGTATATATATATATTATATACCATTATAAACCATAGCATCAAGTCAACAAGTATTAGCTGCTTCTTTGCAAAAATCCATCCCACCTCCAAGAGTCATCCCAGCTTCAAAGCACTTCTTCAGGCGACAGGAGGGGCAGTTCTTTCTTCTTAGCTTATCAATAGTGCAGTCATTCTTGCTGGCACACAGGTATTTCTGCTTGCCTACAGGAGAAACCGTGAAACAATGTAAAAAAAATGTAAATCACTTAAACTGAAGACAACCATGAGCAAACACAAAACTCTTTAGGAACTATTAATGTGTAGAATAAAGAGCCAGAATCTCAAGTGGACTGGCATAAAACTTACAGCCCAGTTGGATGCTTTAAGATTTACCTTCGGCAGCCCTTTTGAAGAAAACCTTGCAGCTGCCACAGGTGAGTGCGCCGTAATGGCAGCCAGATGCCTCGTCCGAGCAGATAAGGCATGTCCTCTGTGGGGGAAAGAAGAACTCCATGGGAAACATGTGTTCTCTACTGGACTCAAACCTGCAGTCAAACACAAACCCCCCCCCCAAAACAAGCCATTTATAAAATCATAAACCATTTTTATCCCACACGAAATTAAACTCATACTATACCACAAGTAAGCTACTTAATTCACTCATACCCAAGACCCATGGTAAACTCTAGTAGTTAGGTAGTTAGGTAGTTATAAAAAAGAGGACAGGCCGATGATGAAAGTGTGGGAAAGACTGAAGCACCGTGGCTATGGTACGGAGGGGGGCTGGGGTGAGTTGAGTGAGCTGCAACCTTGGACACAGAGAGATTGGAGACAACTCAGACACAATGCTGCCTCGGTGACGTGCTACTCAGATATCAAGGTTCGGTGTAAAAGAGACAAGCATGAAGTGAAGAGCCTCACTGTGTCCTGACTGATTTTAAGAATAAATAAAATATTCTATCAGAATGGGAAAACTCGAGCATGACACGTATGCATCTGGGCTTTGACAACTTTATAATAATAAGCAGCAAATCTAATTTGAATTCATTTTTATATGAGCTCTGTTACAGTAGACTTAAGTGTTTTAAGGAAGGGCCCTTTTGTTCAAAGCTTCACATTTATTTAATGCTTAACACTAACACACAAAGTCTAATTAGATTTCTTCAACACGTAGGTCCGGCTTGGTTGTGATTAAAAGATGACAGTTTGAGCAACGAGAGTTGAGATTATACAGAGCAACCTAGTATTCTTTTGTAGCCCAGGATCTGCTGATGATAAATGTGAAAAATATGCATGTCAATATGCCAATGCTCGGCGCACAGAACAAAAGAGGCCGCTAATAATCCCAAATGACAGATGAGAGCTTGAACTGATCAGATTTGCACATAATGTGTTAACAGAGAAGGTGACAATTTTCTCTTAACCCAGCCAGCCAAAATGTGGTATCCTATTATGCATAATTGTGTATATCCTAAGGCATGCGGTACTTTCCTTTTTTGAAAATAACTTACTGATCCAGCTTTTTGCTGTATTTAAAGACACTGTAATAGGCAAATTATCTGGGCTAACCACATTTAACTCTTTTATTGAAAACAGGAAGCTAGCAAGATTGGTTCACTGGTAGAACAAGTGCAACATGTTTCTTTTTTTTTTTTTTAACAGGGAGACTGGCTTTATTTTTTCTTGAATAAAGCCTGATGGGGAACACGCTTTTTATCTACTATAAAGTTACTCTAGTTACTTACTCTGTGGATTTGTGTGAATCCTTGAAAATGTGCTGACCTGCGTGGTGCTCACTTGTTTTAACTTATGTGTTTACATACAGTTTTAGGACGCCAGGTACTTTAGGGCACAGTTAATGACAAAAGATTCATGTTTGAAAAATTCCTAAGCTATCGTGCCAATCACCTGGATCGTGCTAACATCCAGGCCAGATGATGTAGTCCAAAGAGAAATTGTTATAAACACTTATTAGACATTTCCACCTAATCAGGCAGTCCCATTAAAATAATTACTTTAGACAGAGCAAAATTCAGTAAAAGGATGAAAAATAGATACATGCAAATATGCCTGATATAAACTTTTACATTATTGTTGTTGTCAGTCGTATGCTCACTCACACACCACAGCGGAGTGTGGCATTTATGTGTGTCTGACTGCATGCTATATGGTTTTATTTGACCTTTATTGCAATTTTAAAATACAAAAAACAAACATCAGAGTTTAACAATATACACACTTAGCCTTCAGCATTTGACGTTTTAAACACTCTGATGTCATCTTCTGAATAATTACATTTGAATATAATTGGTATAGTGACCATTTAAATATTTCCAAAATGAACAGATATTATTCAGGTTTACTCTTTACCTTGAAGCATATACCTCAAGGTAGTATTTTGCTACAACGTAAAAGTACAAATAGATAACTTTCACAGGTTAAATGAGACTTTTTCTGTTGCAATAATTAGCAAAAATTGTCCTGCAACAGCCACCTCCATGCTTGATCAGACACAATCGAGTAAAATGTTTAAGATGGTTCCTATTTGGTCATAGTCAGTTCAGCTTGTTTTTGTAGTGTTCCGGGATGGAACTAAATAAATTGGTAAACATCTGTTTTCATTCATTTATGTGGTCATGACTCATCCTTCACATGCAAGAGGCGCTAGTCGAGCATGAAGTATTATGGCCTGATTTGACATAGATTGCATTTACTTTAAGTACTGTATAATAATAATAATCACCGAGTAGGTTTCTTTACTGAGTTACTGTACTATGCAAGCCTCTCGCTGCCATTTGTGCTGCCACTCTGCATACTTGGTTGACTCCACACGCAGACGAAACAGAAACATTCTGTGTCCATTTCCTGCTCTTTGTTACCAGTCTTGTAAAATTCTTCAAAGCTTGGCTGGTTGCTATTTTTCTGCACTACCAATTAATGTCAAAGGGTAACCAACCAATCACAAGTTATTTTTGTAGAAAATTGCTGCTCAAAACTACTCCTATTAAGATTTTAACCAGAATCCTTCACATATCTACCAGACTGCCGCCGTGTCGCACTTCCGATCCCATATATGTCCCCGGGGGTTTGTTTCCAAAAACTTAACTGCTGCGAATCATTGAGGTCTGCAGCATTCACAGCGCTGAAAATGCAGTTTTAATGCTGTGAAAGTTTCAATAAATAATCTCTTTGTCTAAAACTGGAACTCTGGAAGGTTTAACAACAAAGTGCAGTAAACAAGAAATATCACATGGTAATACTAAACTGTATTTAACAACTATTAAATTACAAATTGAAAAATTAAAGCATTTTGTTAAAATTATTTTTTTTCTCATAGTAGGTAAAATGTCTTGACTTTCCATCAGGCGTAGTCCCAGAATTTAATCAAAACTACAACTTTACATAATTGCCTGGCTAAATAACTCCATCCAGCTGTGCAGCTCACTGCCACGAGGTCCAAATGGGTAAAAGCATGCCTGAGTTTTCTCAGCTCTGCTTTGCAGTAAAACCACACAGATGTTCCTCATGCTCACAGCAGGTGTAACTGCAACATATACACATAACTATTGCAATGCATTTTTTCCAAACTAAATGATAGCAAGGCACAAAATCTTTCTGTTAAAACCAAATCTAAGAAGCAGCAACAAAAGGTAAAAAAAGCAGGCTCTCGCTCATGGCATAAGAGAGATTTTAGCAATGTGGTGACAGGAAAAAGAGTTCAGCAGAGATCAGCTTTTTGCAAATGAACAGCAGATCATTGCTTTGGTTGCTAAACAAAGGCTGAATGTGTTTACAACTGGCTATGTTATTTATTTATTTCAACTTTTCTTTCCTACTTTTGTATTTTTTTAATATCCAAAAGTGTTCCATTCATTGCTCCTCAAACATCTCCCAGTTTTTGTAGTGGTGCAATTGTACAAAACATCCTGCACCTTAAGTCTTGAATCGTGTTTATGTTGTGTATAGATAGATAAAAAAGACAAGACAAGCTTGACTTGGAAAACTGTATAAGCAGGGTTTTGAAAGGGCTTCAGACATTAAGCAATGTCTCGCTCAATCAGTGTCCTCATGGTCCTCAGGACCTTCTATCGCTGTGCCATTGAGAGCATCCTCACTGGATGCATCACCACCTGGTATGGCAACAGCACCGCCTACAACTGCAAAGCTCTCCAGCGAGTAGTGCGGTGCTCTGAACGGATAATTGGAGGTGAGCTTCCCTCCCTCCAAGACATCTACAGGAAGCGGTGCCTGAGGAAAGCGGGGAGGATCACCAAGGACTCCAGTCACCCCAGCCATAAACTGTTCAGACTGCTTCCATCAGGAAGGAGGTTCTGCATGGTCCCGTACCAACAGACTGAGAGACAGCTTTTTCCATCAGGCCATCAGACTGCTGAACACGTCATAGACACCTCAGCTTCACTATTGGAACTTCAACATTATGCACTCCACACTGTATATAAATGCCACTTGTTTTGCACATATTCAACTCTGTATATTTTATATATTTTATTATTATTATTATTATTATTATTTTATTTTATTTTTTACTATTTAATTTGTAAAAATGTGTATACACACACACACACACACGCACACACACACACACACACACACACACACGTAGGAAAATATTTAGTATACACATCCAGAAATGCATACACTATTATATATTGTACATATATTTATTAGTTTCAGGTTGGCCATTCTTGTATTTTGCTCGTTTGTGTTGTTGTGTTTGCACATCTCTGTTGCTTGTGGGGCTCGCACACAAGAATTTCACTCGCATGTGCTGTGCCAGTGTGCCTGCACATGTGATGTGACAATAAAAAGTGATTTGATTTGATTTTGATTTGATAAACCACATAACCTCTCTGAACTGAGTGTGAGGACCTACTGATCTGTCACAGATCAGCTGCTTTCGCTTTCTAATTTTCTGTTTTGTGTTACTCTAACTTGCTATCTACATTGTGATCAGATTCGTGCTTTGCATCTTGCCACCATGCAGGAATGCCTACTTTGGAATCTTCCCCATAAAACGCCAGTCAATACCCTCAGAGGTCAGTGGCATCAAGTGTAAGAAAGTTTGCACCTTAGAGCTCTCTCTTTACATCTAGACAAGCTCCATTCGTTTGAAAGTGCCATTGAATACATATAAAAATAGGATTAGGAAACATAAATCGGTTTGTGGACGTCCATTTCTAAAGCCTCATGCTGAACATTTTTACTGCTGCCATCTTGTTTTTTTCTTACACCAAACATAAGTGCCAAATCTCACTGTGGCCCTGAGAACACTGCACTCATCTGTTAGTGATTTGTCATGTTAAGATAAGATAAACCTTTATTAGTCACGTGGGAAATTTGTTTGGTCACAGCAGACAGCGGACAGTACAAAGTTAAGACCATCAAAAATTAAGAAAAAACAATAGAATAGAATAAGAAAAAATAGAATAACATACTGTACAAAATAGAATAAAATACTATGTTGCATAAGAAAAATTGCACTTGCCAATATTGTACATAAGGGAGACTAGGTGAAGGTTACCATGGTGTACTGGATGTGTGTGTGTATGTGTGTGTGCACGCGTGTGTGTGCGCATATGTGTGTGTGAGTGCGCGCATGTGTGGTAGTCACAACCTAAAGTAGAAACTGACAATTAAGACCACGGTGATATAAAGACAATACTGACTATGGTGATAAATCAAAAGAGAAGGTATAGCAATTCTTTTCGTAGACCTCTACACAATCCTCCGGCATCTCCACCAGCTGATCTGCAATTTCCAGATCTGACATTCATGTCCTAACAGCCATGTGCTTTCTTTTTGTTGTTTTGATTCACTCTGCTGCTTGAATTTACACAATTTCAGGCCTGTCAATCAAACAATGTGCATTGCTTTAAACATCCTGAGTCTGCCATGCCTGCAAACAGCTGACCTCAACAAGGCCAGTGGCCAAGAATGCCTTTCAGTGCTAGAATTCAACAATATTTCCTTTCTGAAATCATAAAGGAGCTAACATCCCTGTACAGAATAAGGCCGGTTTACCAGCAGTGAAATACAATGAAATGTATTTCAGTGAAATGCTGGCTATCAAAGCTGAGGAAACCCTGTAGAAAATGTTTCAGTCTAAATCATTTATGTAAAAAGTCATCAAAAAGCAAATGATGGCACTGCTTTCATGAACCAAACCCTTGCTACATTTTTAAATGGTAAGTAATAATCTGTAACCAATTACATTCAGAGAATAACCTTCCCACCACTCCACGCTGCCTCCGCTACAGGTAAACATTCAGTCAAGGCAAATTACCATAAAACTAAAATAATACATATCTTCTGCCAGAAGGTAAAGCATGCAAGGGCTGGGAGTCTTTTCAGTTTAAACCTTGAGCAATCAAGCTGTTTTAGTGCCTAGAAAGAGCGAGTGAGGTCATCTATGACCCCATTTTATTCCATTTTATACAGGAATTCCTTTTTTAATGCATTTATCAAAAATACAACACAATCATTTCCCCACAAGGAACACTCCCATCTACGACACATGTTCTAGTATCGTAAATTATTGTTTTAAACCTGAGCTAACCCATCAACATCAACTGAGCTGTTTTCACTGAGCATTAAATATCTGCCCCAAGGCTTCTTCGGCAGTCAGTCTTGCTACTCTAGGTTTGTTAGCCATGTTTCACAATAATACAACACGATGTAATCATTAGAAGTGAAAAAGTGGAACAAAATTAAAACCCAGTAATGTCTAAGTGAAAAAAATCCATAAAACTTTCCATTACCCTTCTCTACACACAGGGATCAGTTCCTGGGTGAAAGTATGAAAAGTTAAAGAAGTAGACTGACAAGTTAATTCTGGGAAATTTTTTTATAGATTAAAAAATATATAGGTAGATATAACATGGTTTCAAAAATGACCTTCTTGGGTTGACTGCTCAGTAGATTAGGCAGACCACACTGCTACACCTCCTCTCAGCAGCTTTGTACAGAAATTCACTTTACACCACGCAGACAGCTATGCGGTACTGAACACTAACAGCCAAAGGAAACAGTGTCCCTTTTCTGACTGCACTAACAATCATTCACCCAGGTGAATTTGAGAAAGCTCTGCACAACACCAGCAGACAACACCTCTGTGTGGCATGCACGTCACACGATGGCTGTCAGTTAACGTGCCCACTTTGGGTGCTTTATAGTCTGAACTAAAATGTGTTGAGAGATTTTAAGAACCTGACACACTCAGAAACATTTGAAACTACGAAAGCACCAACTGTGCGTGTGGCTTGGGGTTTTTTGTTAACTTGTGTTGTTAATTATTCCCACTTTTGTGCCACAGAAACATCAAAATCTTCTCGCTAAAACAAGACTGTCTGCATCTTTTTATCACATTAACTTTGAATGCTTAGCTAGAGCCAAACTGATGTGAAACATCACCCAGTGGCCCAGGTAAATTAAGTTAAACTAAATCTTATTTTCAGGTACAGCCACCAAGGTCACTGTCGGGTAATACAAATGTTTGTCTATAAACTGCCTCATCTTTTTTGTCAGAATTCAAAATCATGGGGACTAACATTTACAATAGTCAAGGAACAAACAAACTTGAAGAAAAAGTCAAGCAGTGATTTTTCCCCTTTTTTCTCCACTCTGTCATCATCTGACTTTATGAAATGAATACATCCACTATCATCTGAATACATACAACACTCTCTCATTCACTTTATTCAGAATTTTTTTTTATTAAAAATAGAATCAAACTTTATTCATTACAAATGTTTGGAGGAAAAGGGTTGTTAAAATGTTTCCATGTATCGCTTTGATCTCCTTTTTTTTTTTGCTGTAGCTATAATCAGTTTGGCATACTTCAATTATTGTCTTTTTTAAAAAATTAGACTTTCACACAGTGTATAAAATCAGCAGCTCTGGGTTACTGTAAAATCGCCAAATATGTGAAGCAGGTGTATTTCTAGATTGGAGCCTGAAACTTCTGCCTACACATTTTCTCAGCAGGGAATTTTTTTTAAACAGTCTGTTCAGTTTGCCACTATGGTTTGGAACCAGAAAAAACAAGTGTGGGGTAAATGTTTCCTGCATCAATAAAAGAACAACAACAACAAAGAAAAAAGAAATACGCGCACACACGCACACACACACACAGACAGTAAAGAAATTGATATGTGGTGTAGTATCAGTTGCCTTTTGCTGTTTGTCAGTCTGTGGATTGGTGATCTAATCCTGGTCAGAGACAGACCCTCAAGCCCCCTAAGGGACAAAGGGTCAACCTGTGGTCCTGAGTTTGAATATATATATATAAAGTAGAACGTTTGGCTCGCAATTACACCTAGAACTGTTCAACCTTTGGTTATACCGCAATATGAAATACATATTTATATTGTAATCACGTAAAATTACTATTACCAGCCGACTAAAGCTCACCTGGTGTCGTTGTAAGTGACATCCAGCCATTCGCCGACTTCACCCTTCATGTAGTTGGAGTTGGGATAAGGCGTCCTCAGCATCCCGCCAGGGTACCACTGTTCACGGCGCATTACGGTCCCGTCATATGGATTGCATATAAACGGGGAGTTCGCTCCCGAGCTCTGCACGTTCATGCACTGCCTCGACCCCCAAAACTGCGAGTTGTACTTGTCGCCGAAGCTGTAATTAGGCCTGCTGACCCACGACGCCCCTGCAGATGCACTTCCCTCAGATTTGACTTTGACGCCGTGCCGTTCTGCCTGAAACCCCGTGGACCTATTCTCCACGGCATCCACGACGTCTCCGGCTTCCTCCACGGAGTTGTAAGCTCCGCATGGCCTCTGTGCAGCCGCGGGGCCGAACTGTGCCAAAGGCTCCGGCGCAGCTGGGGCGTAAGGGCAAGAGGCAGCGCACGCTATGTCCAGATGATCTATCTCTTTCGGAGTTATGTCATCAGCCAGGCACAGCGTGAAGTTTTGCGCGTTCACAGATGTCGCCGTGGAAGTAAGGTGATGAAAAGCCGCCGCGGGCTCTGAACTTTTGAACATTTTCACCTGTTGCTTGTGGTCGTGTGGCGGGCGCTCATCTCGCTCGGGACACCTGTACTCGGAGAGAGAAGCCGGGGCTCCGGGACAGTTCGCAGGCACGGCTTCCACCCCGAATAAATACTCTGCGCTCATTTGGTCATTTGCGGCACACGGCGGGAGAGAAACGTGCGCCTCGCTCGTGTCACCGGACTCCATGGTCAGACCCAGAGACACGGACACAGCTTTGCAGAGCTCCCTGGCTGTTTCTGAGATTGTGGCGCAGGCAGAAAAGGAGCGAATGTCGCCCACTCGGCACTCAGCGCTTAACTCCTCCTGAGGAGCAGCAGCTGTCTGGCAGCAGCGTTTCTCCATGTCACAGGCTAGCGGAATAATGTTTCCGGATCCGTACAGGTTTGCATTCTCGGATTCTGCCAAACTCCCGGCACTGCTTCCAGTCGGGGTTTTGGTGAAATAGACGCGACTTTCTTCAGTTTTTTGCGCCATACTGGCAGCGGTCACGACGTTGCCTGTGTATGATTTCCTATCCTCTGGCCAGATTTTGGCACAAAATAACTGTCTGCTCGTTTGGCTCATGTCCCAGAAAGTGTTTGCTTTGCCAGGATACTGGACTTTGCACGTCAAAAAGTCTTCGCAGTTCTCAGCAGCACAACAGCCCACCTCTCACGTTGTGAAAAGCGTTTTGGTAAAAGGTCCTAGGTGAGCCGCAGGACTCACAAACTCCTCCTAAACTGAGATGTTCAGAGTCAGGCGCTCGACTTGTAGTTGATTAAAAGGGAATTCAGGGAAGGACTCTGTGTCCAATAGGTTACAATAAAACCAAGTCGCCAATTTAATATGTGTACTTTAATAATCAAGTTCTATTTGTCATCACGCCAAAAGGCATGTTAAGAAGACTTCACACAAAACAATGTAATGTTAGCCTTTCTGCCTCTGGTTGTTTTACATCAGACTTGCATGTGTGCAGCCCATCACATTTTTATGGGCCCACCACAGCTTTTTCTTTTTTCTTTCTTTTTTCTTCTTCTTTTTTTTTAGTAAAATTCCACAGGGTACAAACCTATTTTCTTTTTATGTCTTGTCGGATTAAAAAAAAGACCTCAGCCTTTTTGATAGGTAAGGTTTGCGTCATGATTAATCTTTCCAATAAACGCTCTCCAAACATCAGGTGCAGATATAAGTGCAGTTTATGGATTTGTAAAACCACTTCAAATTGTTTAAGATGATTTTCAAGTTGGATTTGGTACTATTTAGCTCGCTCAGAGGCCTGTCTTCAGATCCAGACTTTTAGTCTTTTTAGTGGCTTACAGAGTAAAAAAGAAAAAAAAAACTATCAAAGTGCCATTTATCTTTTACTTCTTCACTTTTTTTTAAACTTTCTTTGACGTTTGCTTTGCAAAGGGCTGGATTTCAGAAGGAAGGACAAACAAACCCAACCCATCCTAATAACCTATGTTTTTTCCAGCATAAATTGACAAAAGTCACCAGAAATTCAAAATAGAATGCACAAAATGTCCTCAGTGTAGTAGTGTAGTAAATACTCATTATTTAGCAAATTATGCATGTCTTTAAGTTATCACTGTAAGTCTGGAGCTTCTCTGGTACTTGATTCTTTCAAGGTTCAATATGTAAAATCATATCGGGCAAAGTTCTCCAAAAGATTTGTGCAATTGCAGTATGACTGCCCTCCTAACCTTTCTTCAGATTTAGTATTCTTCTTATAGATCATATCATTTAAAAAATAAGAATAATTCCCCACAACCTTAAAACTTGCCCTGACATTTTTTGTGTCTTTGAAAATGTCTGGTTCTTGACATGAATTTGAGACAAAGTCTTGTGGCTGTGTGCGTTCTGTGGTCTGTGAGCCACACACATCTAAACATGAAACTGAGAAAACTGAACACAGCTGCAGCTCCTGTTACCTTAAAATTACAGCATGTAATCCACAATGTAGAAACATGGTGACAGAGGAGCCAGTGAAATTCAGAGCAAAGCTGATTCAGAGCCCAATGGTCTTACTGTGACTCAAACTAAAGTGTTAAATGAGAAAGTACATGATGGACACATGTGCAAAACCTGCTCCTCCAAAATGGGCAATCACATTACTTCATAGATTGTGTCATGCTTGTGAGCTCATTTTCCAAAAACTGAAAAGCACTTAATCACAATAAGATGGAAAAGACAACAGCAGCAGTTCTGCATGTTTAATATAGACGTCAGTAACACTTCATAGTGAGGTGCACAAAATTACTAGATACTACAGTGCACAAGCTGCGATTGAGCGCTCAGTATTATGATCCCCCTCTTCACTTTGAGGGAACATATAAGTCACGTAATCACGACGATGAAGTAATGAATTGTGTAATAGCAATCCGTTAGACAGCTTGGGATGCCTGAAAACAGTAACTAATTAGTATTTATTAATAAATGAGGAACTCTTTCCTGTACCGGACTGTTCTGAGGTAACCAGGAACCACTCAGGAAGAAAATGGTTGAAAATCATAAACCACTTATTATGTATGATTCATCAGCATGAATCTTGCTGTCTTTTGTCTTGTGACTTATAATGATAGTCATCAAAACGTATTTATTTGTTCCTTTTTTAAAAAACAAACAAACAAACAAACTAACTAATCATTAAGACCTATACATTGGGTAGATAATTCAGGCATTAACTTTTAACAAAATAAATAGCAATTTATGTCTCATTTGTTTCTTTTTACCTGTCTTTTTGAAAGAACTGCTGCTATATCCCATGTGTAACCAAAGAAGGTAAGCCCAACGTCAAAATAATACAAGTAAGCTCTTTTGGCCAGAAGTGCACACAGGAATGTTGTCTGTTTGATGGTACACTAAAACAAGTGTAAACCAAGGTATTGTTGCTTATTTCTCTTCTTTTCAACTCATTGTTTTGAGGCATTTTAAATCCTCAATTTAAGCACCACATGATTTGTAAAGTTTGGACCTCCAAATGTAACTTAAAACCTCAAAGACCCTTATACGAATGGCCAAGCTAACAACAACAACAACAACAATCTTTATTTATAGAGCACATTTAAAAGCCTTGGGCATACCAAAGTGCTTTACATAAAACAATAAAAGGTTCAAACATTGATAACGGATAAATAAAAATAAGGAGTTATGTTCATAGATAAAAGCTACCAATAAGAATGACTACAGCACATGGGTAATAGCAAGATAAAAGCTGTACCACCATAATAAAAAACACCAATAGAAAGATAGGAGGGAATTAATACAAGAGGTCAATAGGTCACAGCAACCAAACAAACAAACAAACAAACCAGCAATTAAAAGGTGGAGAAGGCAAGTTTAAAAAGATATGTTTTAAGCTGTGATTTAAAAGAATGAATAGAATCAGATGCCCGGATGCCAATCGGGAGATTGTTCCAAAGCACAGGTGCAACAAGAGCAAACGATCGATCACCTCTAGTCTTAAGTCGAGATCTGGGCTGAGCCAGCAGTAACTGTGACGATGACCTTAAAGCCCTGGCAGGAGCATAAGGGTTTAAAAGGTCCTTAAGGTAGCTGGGTGCAGTGTTGTTAGTAATTTTAAAAGTAAACAACAAAATTTTAAATTGAATACGATATTTGACAGGCAACCAGTGCAGATCGGCAAGGACAGGAGTAATGTGGGCAAACTTGCTGGTTTTAGTTAGAATGCGAGTTGCAGCATTCTGAACTGTCTGTAATCTCTGTAAAAGGGAAGAGTGGAGACCACAATAAAGTGAATTACAATAGTCTAGCCTCGACGTTACAAAGGCGTGGATGAGCTTTTCGAGATCTTTATGCGGGATATAGCGCCTAGCCTTAGAGATAAGACGAAGCTGGTAAAAACTAGATCTGACAACAGCAGACACTTGTTTGTCAAATGAAAAGGAGCTGTCAAATAAGACACCCAGATTCCTGACAGTATCAGAGAGAGAACAACTAAGAAAACCAAAGGCATCCCGGAGTTTGGCACGAAGGGCATTACTACCAAAAATCATAATCTCGGTTTTCTTCTCATTAAGGATAAGAGAATTCGACAACAACCACTTCTTGGCCTCAGACATGCATTCTCGGAGGCTATTCAGAGACAGAGCAAGATCGTCGTTTAGCTCAAAATAGAGCTGGATATCATCTGCATAATAGTGATAAGCAATATGGTATTTCTCAAAGATGGCACTTAAAGGAAGCAAGTATAATGAGAAAAGGGTAGGGCCCAGCACAGATCCCTGGGGGACACCACAGCAAACAGGTACAGCCGAGGAAAAGGATGTAGTCAGATGTACCGTAGAGAGCCGATTGGAGAGATAGGATTTAAACCAATCCAGGGCAGCGCCCTTGATGCCTACAGTGTGCTCAAGTCTCGCTAATAAGATATTATGGTAAACCATGTCAAATGCCGATGATAGATCCAAAAGCACTAAGACTGAGGGGCGTCCGTTGTCAGCCATTAGTAGGAGATCATTGAAAACACGAAGCAATGCTGATTCTGTGCTGTGATGTTGTTTGAAGGCCGATTGAAATTTATCATTTATATTATTCTCATCAAGGTAGGTCTGCAGTTGGAGCAGAACCACCTTCTCAAGTATTTTAGCCATAAAGGGAAGCTTAGAAATTGGCCTAAAATTGGCAAAATCACTAAGCTCAAGGTTCCTTTTTTTTAGAACAGGTTGGATTATGGCATGCTTGAGAGCTGAAGGTACATAGCCAGAAAGCAAGGAGAAGTTCAATATGGACAATAAACAAGGTCCAATTACACTGAAACAATCCTTAACAATACGGGATGGGAGTGCAAGCTCTAAGCTAAGCCTAGTTGAGTCTGGCAAGTATTATTTCCATGAACTCAAGGAGTCCTTATGCCCAGGCAGCTGAAGAAAAAAAAAACACAAACCCATTGCACAGTGGCCAGGTGGCATATATATATGAATATTTTCAGTATTTTAATAGAAAATTGGCTTTTTAAAATATTTTGGAAACTTGTAAAAATCCTCACATCTATACAGTAATTGTAAAAGCATCACTTTTAAAATACTGATTGTATGTGGCACCAGCTAAGAGCAATGGCACAGTTCACATCTTTGAATCATAAGCCTGGAAATGGTCCACTTTTCTCCAGATATATCCAGCAATGGATATACGCAGGGTGTTTTAACTGCAATAAGTCAGATCAAATATGATTTCAGCGACGAAGCTTTACTCCTGAAAAACTCACTCTCAGCTTCTTTTTTCCATATAATTATTCTAAGCACACCGGTTGGATACATTTTCCACTCAAAGCCATCAACGTGTTTGCCTTTCAGCTGTCAGTGATTCTCAAACTAAAGCACTAAATGTGTGTCAAACACTGAGCCAACAAATGTTAGCTATAGTCATTAAACAGCATTGAACTCCTATTAACAGTATGAGCTGTCTGACCCTAAGGCACGTATTTATTTGAGTAGTTTCAGTGCAAAACTGTCTTCGCCTCCATAAAATCCGTGGCTCTAACCAGATCACTGACACTAAAGCCAATTATGCACTCAGAGCTAACAGGCAGGTTTGCTTTGCTTCTTGGAGGGAATGAACATTTTCCACTCTTTTCACACAGACACAGAAAACAACCCAGATGTGATGCGATTCAGGTTGTCTCTGCCTCGTCTCACTGTGTTTTTAAAATCTCCCCATTGTTTGCTCATTTACTACTCCCAGGATAATAGAAGGGTGATTGTGATTTTTGAAATGCCTTTAAAGGCAGACAGTAACAGAAAAGCTGCCATACAAACTGGGGAATCTGATGTTTGAACCAGAAACAAAAGATACCTTTGAAGTGCATTACAGAAACTCATGCAGCATTTTTCTGCTTTCCCCTTGCATTCTTGTTACGAAACCAATCTCCTGCAAATCCCTCACTTTTCTGGAAATATAAAACTCCATAGAATTCTCTTTTCAACTGCTCTTTGTTTATGAATGAAATAGTTTTTTTTTTTCATGTCTACGGTTTCATATTATTTTAACAGATTTTGGAACATTTCATTTAGCATGTCAAACTTTGCTGAGGCTACTGTATACAGCTCAGTCCAGACCTTATTATGAAAACAGATATTTTTAAGTAATTGTTGACCAAAACAATCTGAGTGAAGCTGAAAAATATATCTGAGCCTTGGAATGGAGGTATAAATGTACTTTAAATATAATTGTATTTAAATATAATTCGGTCTAATCAACAATATGCAATATGTTGCTACTCTGCAGTGCGCTAGTTATGATAACTTGTTACTTAATGCTAGCATTTTCATTTTTCCTGTTTTTTGTATGCATGAAGTTATAGTCTTAAAATAACCAAAAAAAGATTATGTTTTTGTTACTTTTGTCATCCGAAATACAGAGCAACAGTGAAGTGTAAAAAAACGAACATATTTAGTTCTACTTTGAAACAGTAAAGCCATAAACCTATGCAGAGACACCTTCATCCCTACCTGTGTATGTGCAAATAAATCAGAATAAAAGTCACTTCATTAATAGTAAACAAAAATATAGCATAGCCTAATAGCTTTAAAAATAAGCAAGTGTTTTACTTTTATGTTGACTAAAGCGTAGCTGAGATCAAGCATAGCGACAATGTGTTAAATCTTAAAAGATGGGGGGGGGGGGGGGGGGGGGGATTTTACTGTAACTTCTGAAACAGCATGTAATTGGTAAGAGTACCGGTAGCTATTCTTTACTCTTTTTCTTGCATTGAGTCTTTTTGTTGCCATGAGTGCACAAACGCTTTCAGGGCTGAAGCATGTGCCTTCAGGGATGGCCCTGAATGAATGAGCAAGCCTAAGCTCCTCCTTTTAGATGCTATCTCTGCCTGAAAAAATGGCATCTAAACATATTGCATTCCACACAATCACGAGGACAAATCGATGCCTTATTGCTTGTGATGAAATAATTGGAATTTAGGATTCCTTATAGTAAAGCATGCAACCCCATTGGTAACTTGTAATAACAGTGTAATAAGAATAGATTGGGCCACACCCCTACTAATGCCTTTTCTTTTAAAAACATGTCATTTCCTTGTTCTACCTTCATTGGAGGTAAGGCAACTCTATAAGGCAATTAGTATATATTTTTAGGTAAAACAACATCCTAATTTCAAAAGAAATACATGGTGAATGTTGGAAATTACACCCTAAATTACATGCCAAATTGTGGTGCTGCCAGACATTTTCATGACTGAGGACTATTCTTCTGTTGCACATAAATCAAAACAGAAAAGCAGCTAGTGGTGCTTTTACAGGAGCAACCTCTTGATGGTGCACAGTGCTCCTTTGGCCCCAACCCATCACAGTCCACACAGCACAGTTCTTACTCTTTACATATACGAACAAATCAATGTCACATTTACCGTGCCCCTAGTGTACAACATTTCAGTTTTGATATGTAAACTTCACCGTGTCTGTTAGTTTTACAATTTCACATAATAATTGCTTTGATTGGAAACAGCTTGTTTCTGTCTTTTCTGGTGTTGCTGTAGCAAAAGCCGCTGTTTTTTCCTTTCTTTTTACTGCATGCTGTAAAATAGCTCATCTGTGACTTAGGCTGTATTACTGCAGAGTAGATCCAGAGACACCTTCATAGCCCATTATACTCATTTACATAAAAAAGCATCAGTTCTACATAGCCATTGGAGACATGTTCTCTGCTTGAGCTGTGTCCTCAGCACTGTGAATTTGTCTTGACACTGATCATTACAGTTTTTTTCTTAGGCTGAGTACTGATCGTAACTTTTCGCAAAAGATGGCCTTCACTAATATTTAAAAAAAAAAAAAAATCTTCCTTATCTGACCGCTTCCCCCATGGCCGGCTTGAAGACTCAGTGTGGGAGGCAGCCTTCTGTCATTCTG